CAGTTATATAAGATATACTAGTTTACTCATGCTGACAGCATTTAAAAAATATTCTTTTCTATAATTATTGTTGCATTCTGTTATTTGAATTTGTCTGTTAAACTTTTAGAAATAATGACAAAACAAATGAAATGCCATCAAGAGCAGAACTCATAGTAAAGGATTCAACATGGCAGCACCACACACTCAATTTTATCTAGAGGTTAGTTTGATCTTTATCAAAAATATATGATCACATATGCTCACTTTCAACACTCTCACTTAAACATATAGGTAGGCGTCCATTATCTTATGATATTATGGTAGCACCCTGTTTGGTTAAAATTCAGTCCTTTAGTAGTGTTACTGGTGTAACCTCTTCAAAGCCTAGGCCTGGGTATATGGAAGCTGTCCACTGCCCAAGCCACATAGCCATCCCCCTCTCGTAAACACTGAAAAGTACCTTAGCAAAGATGCACAGGAGAGGTTTATTCAAAGATAATCCAACTGCTGTCTAAAGATGGTTAACAAACAATTGATCAATGTGAAGATGATTCTTTTTAATGGCTTCAGAGGGAATCTTTTCTTAGACTACCCCCTGTACATATACAAGCACAGATGTGAAGAGACGGGCACTGATCATTTAAGCATTCCATACCACAACCCAAATGAACCTCTATTAATAGAAAACAATATTCTTGCTTTCCTTCTCAAGGTCAATGTACTGATGATAAGAGGGGCTATATCAGGGGTTCTCAACCAGGGAGTAATTCTCCCAGGGGGAATTTCATGGTGGGAGGAAAAAGTCTTTTACTTTTTTGTTTTTTTTATTTACAGAATTTTGTTTATTGAATTACAATATCCTGGCATTCTATTGAACTTTTGTTTATTGTTTGTTTTATGCTTCAGTTTATTTATTTAATAATTAGTTATGAATTAAAACAAATTACTGTACACATATTCAAGTTTAAAAATCCATCAACATTTTCTGTTGCTATTAAATTTGTAAAACCGCATCTATAAAATTAATCCATGTATATGAATTAATATGGAAAAGAATGAAGATTTTCAATAATATGCTTATTATTTGGAATGCACCTTTTGAGTCCGTAAAGGGGAGAATGACATTCTGACATATGGTGAATAAGGTGCATTGGGGAAAAAAAGGTTGAGAACCACTGGGCTATGCTGATGATATAGATATTCATAATTTATTTAAGAATGATCTTGAACAAAAAAAATCAACATTCTCTACTAAGTGTTCCAAGAAATAGGATATTAAATAAACCTTTTGAAAACAGAAACTATGATCTGGAATTGGAATGAAAGCCAGGTTGGCACATGCACTGAATAAAAATTCAGGATGTGGAAATAGTAAATACTAAAGACTTCAAATACATCAGTGTATGAATCAGTTATAAAAAATTTAGTATAGAAGATTAGGAAATTGAACATAGAATAAGCTGTCATAAGGGTAGTTTCAGCCGAAACCACGTATTGCTACAAAACCGAAACATTAACCTAAAAAAAGTTGAGTCAAATTTTTAAATCGCCTCATCAGATCAAGATTTTCATATGAATGTCATTTATGGCACCAAACTCATTTAGAAATATCTAAACTCTCAGCTGTATATAACCGCTTTCTCAGATTGAAGATTAAAAATGGATTTGAGTGAATGAAGCATGTAGCTCTTAGCAAGGACCATTCTTCTTCAAAACTAATAGATTAACACTATAGAATCACAAACAAAGAATTGTACCAAATAACAGAAACCACATCACTTGAGGACTTTCAACATAAGCAACAACTAAAATGAATAGCACACGTAATTCAAAAAGAAAAAATCATGTAACTATTGTTGATGTTCCACACTACTTCAAATAAAAGGTAAGAAAGGAAGCCCCAACAATACTGGAAAGAGTAATAACAGCTACTGGGCTCAAGAAACCTATTTTGCTGAAAAATTGTGTTAAGTGAAAGATTTTATAAATTTAAATTGACACCGGTACTCGTCATTCATTCAATGAATGCTGAATATTTCCTTACAAAGAAATGGCTAACATTACCGTGTTTACAGGCATAATGAAGGAGTGTTAATTCCTCCAAAGAATCAAAACATTTGAATATTAGCTCCATGTTTTAAAGAGGGAATTGAAAAGAATATCTGAAATTAACATCACTGTCAAACAACAGTAGACACATTCTAGATTAAAGCATCATCAACATAAGAACATCAGCTGATTATTCCTTCAGTCTTTTGCACCCTCAACTGAGTTATCACTCATCATAGGGTCATAACCTGTTAGACTTTTAGAAATAATAGTGAAACATAAAACACACACCTGTAACAGTACAGCAAATCTATATAAGTAGTAAAGTATTTAATATAGCTCTCTCTCTCTCCCTATCTAGATTTATATATTTAAACAAGTCTCTAAATGATATATCTAAACAACTTGTATTAAATTCAACCAATAAGTTCTGTTAAGTTGATTTTTTTATTGTATTTTCCATTTTTCAAATAAGTTGTTGCACATCTAAAACAAAATTATTAATAAACTGTCTTTATCATTATCAAGTTTGTTATAAGAAGGTTTTTAATTCTTTATTTTTGATAAAAGGACATAAATAAATGAAATAACAGATTTTTGTAAATATGAGGAGCAGAAATACCTGGCCAAGGTAAGAATACAGTCGTACACTATTTTGTAACATGAAACTTGTAATTAATTAAAAAATGCAAGAATGTTGATTCTGTCTGAATTGTTGCTTCCAAGTAATTATAAAAATAGTTATTTTTTTATCTTTATTAAAATTTCTTAAAAGTATAAAACTATTCTAAAGATGCATTGGACAAAAAAATGTTAAGAACCACTGGGCTATGCTTATGATATACAACTCAAGATAAACCATTCCGAGAGAAACTGATCTGGAATTGGAATGAAAGCCAGGTTGGCATATGCATTGAATCTATCATAAAAATTCAGGATGTGGAATTAGTAAATACTAAAAACTTCAAATATCTCAGTATATTGATCAGTTAGTATAGAAGATAATAGTCTCATCAGATTGAGACTTTCATACAGATGTCATTCATAGCACCAAACAAATTCAGAAATATCAAAACTATCAGCTGTATACAACTGCTTTCTCAGACTGATGGTTAAAAAATGGCTTTGAGCAAATGAAGCATTTAGGTTTTATCAAGGACCATCCTTCTTTGAACATTGTGGAGATATGCTACAGAATCACAAACAGAGAATTTTACCAAATAACAGAAATCACATCATCTCTTAGTGCAGGAATGTTGATTCTATCAGAATTGTTGCTTCCAAATGATTATGAAAATAGTTATTTTTTTTATCTTTATTAAAATATTTTAAACATAAACAAATATAAAACAAAATTCCATTCTAGAAAGATTTCTGAGAAAAATCCTTTTTACAAAATAATTATTTACATAATTACCGCATATAAATTCTTAATCAAGAACTTTTTTTTTTAAATTTCTTCTTCTTCATGCCTTTCCCAAGGGCATTAGTGCAAAATGAATATAGATCTTATTCAGAGTTGAACTCAACTTACCATTACATTTTCAATGCTGATAACTAGATAGCCACTGGCACTTTCCTTAATATTTTTCTTAGAAATAAATAAATGTTTACATAGATGATTACAATTAGAATCCCTCTAATTTATGGCTCTCCACAACTTTCTATCCTTTGTAGCTCTTAGCAATGTTTATCTTTTTAATATCCTTCCCACTTTCTGTGCAACCATCCATTTAGACAAGGTTGTTAGGTAGGTTACTGGTTGTTTCCCTCTGCCCCTCAGTATGTCATGAGTGTCAAATTCTTTAAACCATCTTTCCTCATTATGTGTTCCAGAATGTGGAAAACCAAGGCTCTACATAACTTCCTATCTTTTTTAGCTCTTAGCAATATTTTTTCTTTTTACTATCCCTGCATTACCTGTTTTGTCTTTCAGTTACACATTTTTCTTTTTTTTTAATTGAATTTATCCCAAGCAAGGCAGCAAAGCCACTAAGACACAAGGGGGTTACTGGGTGTGAAAGAATTAGAAAACAGAAACATTATTAAGGAACGAGAACTATAGAAGAGGAGGAAAATAAATAACAGTTAACATTGCATTTAAATTTTTGAAGATTAAAGTTGGCTGGAAATCATGGAACCTGAAGAGAGTTCCACAAGCAAGAAGTGCGAGAAAAGAAACTGTTAGCATAGAACTTATGGTTACAATTCGCCAATTCAGCTGTAAATTGATGAGACCTTGTTGCCAATCTAGTATTGCACTTAAATTTATAAAGTCTAAGTGTCATAGCGAAGAGCTCATCCAAACAATTACCATGAAAGTATTTATAGAAAAGCCACAGGGAAGCAACTTCATGGTAGTGGGAAAGTGACTGAAGCCAAGATGCCAAGTCATGACCAATAATATTGCTGATTCTTGGATTGGATTTTATCAAGTATCTCTAAATACATAACAGTAGCACCAGACCCCATGCAGCATCAATATTCTAAGCATGGATGATTAGTAGACTTATAGATATGCAAGATAGATTTTGGAGAGAAAAAAAAATCTTCCTTAAAAGTTCCTTATTGTTCACATGCTCTGTCTTTGGTATCTGTTGCATCTTTTGTGAGGAAATTATTTGGCATTTACTGCCATATAGAAGGATAGATATTACATAGTACTTCAGCACTCTTTTCGTCTAACAAAATTTTCCTGTTTTTTAATACTTTGTTTAACTTTTGAAAGGCACTTTTCACTATTCCGATGTGCCTTTGGATTTTCTCATCACATTTTTCATCAAAACAGTTCCGAGATATTTCAATTTTTTACTTATTTCAAACTCATCCTCAATTCAAGTTAATTTTATAAACTAATTTTCAGTCTCCAGGATCAAGACATTTGCCTGATTGTAAAGACACATGTAAATATAACAATCACTGGTTTTATAACAAGAGATATAATTAGTGTTTCTTTGTTTCTTTTTCAGGACACTCAGGAGAATATAGATAGTTTGAATGTTGGTGAAGAATCCCAATGTCCAGTAAACATAGAGAGTAAAACATTAGACTTGCCATGTGAAAATTTTCAGGAAGATCTACACAGAGCTCTACCTGAAGCTAAAGAAATAGCGACTACAACATGTGTTAGTGATACTGCTATTTCAGTTGAAAACTCTTCAACTACAGAATCTCATTCATCAAAGCCAAGTAACTTCAAGGTAAGTAATTTTTTTTATAATCATTTCACCCCAAGCAAGGCAATAAAAGCCACTAGAAGGCAAGGGGTTACTGAGAGTGAAAGAAATGGGCCAATAAAAGAACAGGGATTCAAAGAGACAGAGGATGATGACTGACATTGCATTTAAATGTTTGAAGATCGTGTTTGACTGGAAAGCAGGAAGCCAAAGAGAGATCCACAAACAAGAAGTGCGAGAGAAGAAACTATCAGCATAGAACTTATGGTTACAGCTAGAAATTTCAACAGTCAACCAATAAGATAGATTAAATACCAGACACATTTGCATATAGTGATTGTTTAATTAATTAGCACACAATGACCATTTAATCCATTTACATTAAGTGACTGTTATTTAATTCTTATTCAATCATAAGTAAATCAAACAAAGTAATTTTTTTTTTTTTTTTTACATTTTTTTTATTTCATTGCAGGAGAAAAATAAATAACTCTCAGGTCAGTAAGTTTAGATGTGCGGGTGGTATAATAGATAATGACTCAAAATTGTTAATCAGAGAGCCGAGTTCCAATTCCTGTTGTGTTCATTATATTTGCTTATGCACAAATATCCTTGGGAAAGGTATGAATCCACTACTTCTTCCCCTAGCTATGGATAGTCAGATTTGTATCAGTAAAACTATTATTATCTCAAAAAAAAAAAAAAAATGCATACCAAATATTTAGATTTCAACAGCAAATAACCCATAGAGGTTGATGTGTCGATAAAATCAACCAACTATCAGGTCAGAACTAGACATTTTACTGTAGAGAAGAATGTAACCCTTAAATTATAATCAGCTGTTTGTGTATAAACTGTGTTTTGGAGGTTTCAAAACTAATTCTAGATGATGTTTTATGGAATTAATTTTAATTTTTTTATTTCTCTTAAATAATTTTGAATCCACAAATAATGATGCCATTGTGGTTTTTAATTTCTTAAAAATATGCTTGCAATTGGAGTAGGGCTGAAAATTTTAAAAAGTTTATCAGGAAATTTTAAAAGCTGAAATTTAAGTTGAAAATATTTGTTTCTGTCATTCTTAATAAATGGTCTTCAATAAATACACAATTGACTTTCTCTATCATGTTGGTCTTAGCAACTTTGCATATTGCCAGGTTATTTTTTGTATTTAAAAAAATTTTTTATTATTTTTAATGCTGTCAGAAAAAAGAATGGATTGATATTTTTCATTTTTGTTTTGCCAGGTACCAGATCCTGTAATCCTTCCAGACCAAAAGTCTGCCATTCCTTCAGCTTCTGATCTCAGTACAAATGAAGGAAATGAGGTAACTCTCTGACATAACAGACTTTTTATTTAATATCAGTAAAGGAATAGAAATTGTAAGATAGAATATCTGCTCATTAGTAAGGCAGACATGCAAGTGTTATGAATTAAAGATGTCAGAATCAAGCAAGTACAGACATTTTAAATAAAATCTGTGAAGTGTTAACAGGCAACAGAAAATGTGACACAGAAATCCATTGTTTTAGTTGTTGAATGCTGCCATAATCCTTGCTTTCAGTTCATCTTTGGTATTACAAGGAGTTTTGTTGGTCTCTTGCTTAACTGCACCTCTGGGGTTGTAGTCTAAAGAGTTAGATGGCCAGATGTAAGGGCTGACGTGGTTGCAGAAATTGTCTAACAGTCATGACTGGGATCTCTTGCTTGTGTGGTATGGTGCAGAGTCCTGTTTCCAGACATAGGGCATTCCAGCAGCCACCTTCTTGACCTAGGACAGTACTGGCTCCTCAAGGTATTTAATGTAGGCCCCTGTGTTGAGTCTGAGGCTCTGTGGGAAGATGAGTGGAGGCATAATGTCACCATCACTAGTGATCACTCCAAACACCTTCGTAATCACCATTAGACTCATCCAACTCTTTCTGAATCCTCTGTACTGTCCTCAGATTAACACCAAAACACTCTGAAATGTTCATATTGGAGCTTCTGGCATGAATGCCATGCAGTACAGCATGCCATTTCCAAATTTCTGGTGGAGTGAATTGTGCCATGTTGCTCTTTTTCTCACAGATGATACCAACTGGCCCTACTATAAGTCAACAAAATCAAAAACAATGCGCATGCATGAAATTAAAAATATAAAATGGCGACAATTTACCCATCGCACCCTGCATATATATTTATAAGATTGATGTTTAAAGTTTTTATAATTCTTTTTTCAACGTTTTGCTCTGTAAGACATTTAAAAAATATGAAGAAAAATAACATTTATTTTCCTATATTAAACCATCATTTTATTTTAATATGTTCTAATTTTTACAAATCTCATTTTTTTGTAGATATTTATTTTCAGACTTTTTCATTATTAACCATATCATTTCTAACTAGGGATGTTGCCATGGTAACAATTTCTTCCTTAGATTTTTTTTTTCACTTGTCCCAAAGATGTTGTCACAGAGTGAAACATTGACAACAGAACTGAAAAAATCCAACTGGTTTTCAAAAATTCAATCTTACGTACTTTGGATATTTCATACCAGTCATTTTATCATATATAATGGCTGGTTACTCTTGTTTTCCAAGCACACTCATCAGCTAGGAATGCTAGCTGATACCTGTCACTGAACCCTGCTCAGGCAAATTTATGTTGGTTCAACACCTACAGAGTTTAGCTATAGTTTATACTTCAATTATGATGAGCATATCTTAGTTACAATTTCCAGGAAAAGAGAGAGCACATAATCTGGCATGATCATCAGTTTGAACAATGCCAATACACTCAAACCCTCAGTCATAACTTGTGACTTGTGATAGCACAATAATCAATGGATTCAGAATAATTCCATCTACATAATTTCACTCACAATCAATCAAATGGCATGGCTTTCAAGCACTTTCCAAGGGTGCTACACACTGAGATCACCTCCCCAAACTGATAACATCAAGAAGTCACCTTCCTGACATATCAACCATGGTGAGATTCAAACCCAAATCTCATGGCTAGAATTCAAATGTTCTAACTACTTCTAACTAATATATATATATATATATATATATATATATATATATATATATATATATATATATCCAAATGTAAAAGAACAAAGAGTAAGATTTAAGCATTCAAAACATTAATTTAAAACAGAGCTCAATACAAAAGTAGAGCTGTAAATATTTATTTATTATGCAATGTTATGTGTGTGTGTGTGTGTGTGTGTACACTATATACACATACATGCATACATACAGGTTTCATTAAAGATGACTGACAAGGCACTGCAATTATGCGTCTTATATTTTTCTTGCATATGTATAGATGATTTCTTTTTGGGGACATAGAGTATGTAAAAACTATCCAAATTTTCAGCTAATCTATTAACTATTATCAAAGATATCTTTTTTGTTTGTCTGAATCTCATCTAAATGCAGAAAATGGTTAAAAGTGATGGAAGAGTTAAAAAAAACGAAGAAATCAAGTCTTAATACCAATTATGAACACAACCACAATGTGCTGACTGCGTTCAGAAATGAAAATATTCCTACTACTATAAAAAAAAGCATTCAGACAAACAAAAAAACATCTTTAATAATGGCTAATTGGTTAATTGAAAGTGCTTGGATCCATAATTCATTTGGACAGTTCTTACACACTCTTTCTTAAAAAATGAATTCACTTGTATGAACACAAGAAAAATATAATAAAAAGCTTAATCACAGTGCCTTGTCAGTCATCTTCAATGAAACAGTTATAAAAGAGGGATTGTTGCCCAAACACACACACATACACACACATATGATTTTTTGGATTTCTGTTGGACTAAATGTTGTGCATATATTTTAACAGATACTCCCTGAAGAAGAGCTCTGTCCAAAAATGAAAGACACTAATACGGAAGTTGCTGGAATGCCATTTCAACAACCTCAAGAACTTCAAGGAATTAGTGAAGATGATATTGGTTAGTTTATTCCTTTCAACGATATTGAACTTAAATTTTAATTGAAAAGAAAAGTTAATCCTTGCATTTACTCCCAAGCTTTGTTATATAAATGCTACTTTAAAGGTAGAAAAAAGGCTTCATTTGAACAAGCAAGCAATCAAACCATATACTAATTATCAATGTGTATTTATTTATATATTACCTGCCCCATCTGTAGTGGATAGGGAGATAAATCAACTTAAGTTAGTAAATTTATGAGTGATTACTCTCCTTAGTTTTTTTTTGATAATCTATACAAATAAAATATTTATCTGCATTTAGACAGGATAAATTCCCAAGCAAAATGAACAATTTTAAGTCTACATTTCTTCAATTGCAGCTTTGTTGAAGCCTTTCATATGAGCCACTCAGATACCTTTGTGTCTATAATGTGATTGTCTTGCTCAAAATTGGTCTTGAAATAGGCTTTGTCATCACTGTCTTTGTTATTCTGTTGCTAATCTTTTTTTTCTGAGAGATATTTCAATTTCACTGTTATATTAAACACAAAATTTTTAACATGAAACAATATTGAGTGAAAAACGATTAATATAATACCAGGAGTACTCACTCAATCATAGATGCCACTGAATGTCTAAAAAATATAAAGGGAACATATTAATTAAATGGTTCATTGGCATTTATTTTAGTTGTGAATTCTTTATCTCCACTCTACTGAATCTCAGTACATTGTTTTAAGATATTTAATTCATTGTATTTTACTATTACAACTTTCTAATGATTGCCATCATTTTTGACGGGCATGGCTACACCTCGTCTAATAATGAAAGCCATCAGCAGGACAAACATATTTCTGAAGATTACAAAAGGTCGGATTGGAAATAAATGACAAAACAGAGGGATTTTTAAAGATAAATATGCAACAACCTGGTTCAAAATTTTGTTTTTCTTGCTCCAGCAATTAACCATAAATTAGTATGGGAAATTTTAGTGTCTTTTTATTGTGAAAAACACTGCTTTTGAAAATCTTGCAAAAATCAGATAATTGCCTGATTTTAATGAAAATTTCAAATATTTTTGAAATGTTTCTTTTTTAGAATATCTTTGTAAAAAAATTTTTCTTAAATCTTTTACCCTCCACTTATTTTGATAACATTTTGAGAAATTCTTTTTTGTAACATTTAATGTTTGTATTAGTTATAAGAACAAGTCCTCAAAGAACTTAAATCATGAATTTTTTTGGTCAAACAGGACTTCCAGTTACAAAAAATCTGCTCTCAATCATAAAATAAATGCAATAAAAGTAAGACATTATTTAATTAGAAAACCTTTTAATTACTTTTCAGTATAAAATATATTATGGACACTATATCTTAAGAAAAAAGGGTTAATGTGAAAGAAAAAACCACCATAAGAAATTCAAATCCATCCCTTAAATCTAACCCAAACTTTAATGAAGCGTTTGCTCAACTAAAGAACTCTTATAAAGATACTCAAGCTGAATAACCCCAGGGAAAATTTTTGTTCATCAATTTTACTGCTGCCAACAATCTACTCTTGCTTAGAAAACTGTCAATGAGATCAGTGGTAGAAAATCAACAACTAAATTCACACTTAAAGGCCAATAGTCAGACTGAATAAATGGTAAGACCATTTTAAATATCTCTTGGGGGAAATATAATTGACATTTTAGATACTGAGGTTGAGCAAATTATTGAACCTCCTTGACATTAAAACTGGAAACTTTACAGATGTAGAACTGAATATAAAAAAAAAAATCATCATAATATTGTTTAGCATTTTAAGTTAAAACATATATAATGTGTGGGCATATATCTGTATGCATACTATTGTTGGATGGTCGGCAACTCAACTGGCACCACCACTCCATTTCTTGTGAGTGAAGCAGATTGTTAGCAAACATGTAGGATGAAAAATAAGACCTATCAAAGGGTGGAAGTATTCTTGACAAGTCATTGGACTAGTGGTAGTGTCTGAATAAATCACTATAGAGAAGGCAACTGGAAATCAATATCAGTTCCAAGAAAAATCTTTGGAGATACCTATATATAGTATAATTAGGTAGCAGTGGTTCTTCCAAACAAGTTTTATTAAAAAGGATATAGATTTTATGTCTGTTGAATTTATGCATTATCTTTTCAAAATTGTGAATCACTTTCTGCAAAACTGGATGTGACATAAATAAAAATATCCCCAAAATCAAAAGTGTTTTAAGTGGTGCATTGTTTTTAAAAGTCTCCTTATATTTTATTTGAAAGTAAAATTTGATGGATAAGAATGTGTCACATGACATTAAATTGAGATATTTATTACATCTGCAACAGCCTGGTTTGCAAAAAGTGATTTGTAATTTAGAAAAGACAATGTGTGTGTATGCATGTTTTTGATTTTGTTGACTGCACAGTATTGTAGGGTCAGTTGGGCACCATCTGTGAGAAAAAGAGAGCCATGATGCAATTCACTCTGCCAGAAATTTGGAAATGGTATGCTGTACTGCTTGGGAGCTCCAATATGAACATTTTGGAGTGTTTTGGTGTTAATCTAAGGACAGTGCAGAAGATTCGGAAAGAGCTGGATGAGTCTAATGGTGATTATAAAGGTGTTTGGAGTGATCACTAATGATGGCGATGTTATGCCTCAATTAATCTTCCCACAGGGCGCAGACTCAACACAGGTCTACATCGTGCTGCCCTGGGTCAAGAGGGTGGCTGCTGGAAGATACTATGTCTGGCAACAGGACTCTGTACCATGCTGCACAAGCAGGAGAATCACCCCTTACATCTGGCCACCTAACTCACCATACTGCAATCACCTTGATTATTATGTGTGGGGCGCAGCTGAGCGAGCGACCAAAAATCCTTGTAACACCAAGGTGAACTGAAGGCAAGGATTATGGCAGCATTCACCAACTTAAACAAGGAGAGCGTTCAGAAGAGATGCAGGAGATTCTGAAGTCATTTGGAAGCCATGGTTGAACCAATGGCAATTTTATTGAATAAATTTACTATTTAGTAATTTACTCAAGATATTTTTGTCATAATTTTGGTAAATATATCTGTTAAAATGAGACATCAGAGTTATTTTCATTTTTGTGTAATTTAGACAACAATCTACCCATCACACCCTGTGTGTGTGAGTGTGTGTGTATATATATATATATATATATATATATATGGATGGCCTGAAGGAATATTATGCCACTCTGTGTTGACCTCAGTGTCCACTCATATATGTGTGTGTCTATATATATATATATATATATATAATGCCAGCTATTCATTTCTCAAGCATACTTGTCTGCTATTAGAGTTAATAATCAATCTCTGTTGCAGCTGTCTGCTCAAGCACATTTGTGTTTGTTCAATGTCCACAGAGCCCATCTGTAGTTTATACTGCAACTATGCTGAGTAGACCTTAGTTACAGTTTCTAGAAGAGAGTGCATAATCTAACATGATCAGCATTTTGAACAATGCCAGTACACTGAAACCCTCGTGACTTTATCCTAGCACAATCATTGTCAGCTTCCGAGCAGTTCCAGCTATCCAATTTCACTCAGAAGGCTCGAGTCAACCCGCACCATGGTTTACAGGCATTTTCCAAAGCTGCTGCATGCACCTCCTTAGACTGATAAAAGTCATCTTCCTAACAAATCATGGTGAGATTTGAACTTGGGTCTCATGATCAGAAAGCAAATCTCATAACCACTCAACCCCATACATATATACACACGATTATCAGACAAACTGGTTTATTTTTTAAACTTGGATTTATTTATGCTTGCTTGACTATTTTTAGTGGTGGGAGGGGGAATCTACTTCTGTGTTTGTTTGGGGTGACACTCTCATATGCATAGACACACATACATACAGGTGTACACATTTTAGTTGACACAAACACATCCATATAAACAATCTGAGGCACCTAGTAAAGTTTACAGAAGATTTTCTCCTGGACAATGAATCATCTTACATACAGAAAGAAATTCAATTTTATTGCAGGAAAACTAATTTAATTCTTTGCTTTATTTTACCATATTAGATGTAGGGACCTCCACAAAAAATACAATACCTAAGGTTTAAAATTAATTTTTAAAAATGAAAAATTTTTCTTGAAGCTTTTATTTTAGCTTTAATTTCAGGCTAATTGATTAAATTTAATATTTACAATGAACAAAATATTTTGCTGCATTTCAAAAACTAATTTAAATTCACTGTAAGGAGGTTTTTTTTTTCTAAAATAGCTGATTACTGTCCTTTTTTTAGTCACCTTTCATTGCAATGTAGTTCTCTTTATTAAAAAATCTTCCAAAAATAAAATATACTTTTCTGAAATTTTATTTGAGACATATTAGTTGATTTAAAATATAATTAATCTGATTTGAAACAAATATTATTTACTTTAAGTTTTAAATATCACAGAAATGCATTTTTAAAATCCAACAGTAGCTGTGTTGACATGTTGACAGCCTGATAACAGCTCTAATCTTGTTCTATGGAGACTTTATCTGTAAAATATAATTTAAAAAACTATGTGAGCACCTTTTTTATATAATTTTTAAGTACTCAGTAATCTTAAAAATTTACAAAAATATTCTCTGTAATCTGTTTTATTGAATTTTAGAAATGTTGGTTTTAAACTTACTATAGTTGTCATTCTTATTTTCTGATAAAAATCTTGTATGGTCACCAGTATTTACAAGAATCAGCACATTTATACATGTACAAAAAAAATTCAAAATTCTTTTAAAAATATTGGTGTTTGATGATTTGTATTAAGCTTTTCCATTTATGATTAGTAAATATATTTTCCCTTAATAATATCATCTAAAAGATTGAAATTAATACAGAATTTTAAAAAACTTAAAACTTAATAAATTATTCTTATTAAAATTTTAACAAAATGAAAACATTTCTTGTAAAAATTCATTATTCATTGAAAAAATGTTTTTCTTAAGACAATAGTGTCCTTAATATATCTTATTAATAAAAGTAATTAAAGGCTTTTCTAATTAAATAATGTCATAGTTTTATTGTATTTTTTATTTTATTACTCAGAGCAGATTTTCAGTAAATGGTGTTTCTGTTTGACCAAAACCAGTTGATGATTTAATTCTCCAAAGAGTCCTGCTTTTAACTAATATAAATATGAAGAGGCTGAAATTTTAATTTCTTGAAATTTCTTAAAATTAAGTGGAGGTAACAGATATAAAAAAAAAAAATTTTACTAAGATAAATAAAATAATTTCATTCATTTGTGAATAAGTCCTGAAAATTTCATTAAAACCTGAGAATTATTTGATTTTTGCAAGAATTTCTAAAATGATGTGTTTTTAACACCAAAAATGACGTTAAAATTTCCAGTATTAATCTTTGACCCAACCACTGATGCAAGAAAAACAAGATTATTAATCAAAATTTTGAACCTGCTAGAAAGGATTAAAAAATTTAATAAAATAATAATATATACTTTGGTCTCTCCTCTTAATAATAACAAACATTTTGACAATAAAACTTTGTTTTTATCAAGTTTGGGTCCTTTTTTCATCAAGGAATTTTGAGAAAAAAAATTAAATGTAATCAAAGTTATACAAAAAATAACAAAACTCAACAAGAGTTTAAATTATGTTTATCAATTCTGTTTTGTATTTTAGGTGATGGTGACAAAAATCTACATCCAGTATCTCAGAACAATGGCACAGAAGATTCCATAAAGTTTGTGTTTTATAATTTCAGTTTGAAAATTCTGTGATATTTTATTGTGTCTCAACATACTTTTTATTCCTTTGAACAAAGCTAATTGTGTATTTAGATCTGTTTGCCCTGGGATAGATTTATGCCTTGTAAAAATTTGAATACACATTACGTCATGAGATTTTTGGAACCCTTCTAGTGACTCATCTACAGATTTATCTGTTCATTATGAATTGCTGTTCTTCAATCTTAACACAATACCCATCTATATTAAGAGTTTAATCTCTACTATATATATATTCCATTGTATGGATATGAGTTTGTAACCCTGGGTTTCACAATTTTGTGATCCACAGACAAACTAATTTATTTTTAAAAATTGAATTCATTTATGTTAGTTTGTGTTTGATTATGTTTGGTGGTGGTGTGGCGGGTGAATTCTCTTCTGTGTCCATTTTGGGATGAAACTCATATGCATGCAGACATACATACATACATATATATATACAGGTGTATGCATTATAGTTCACACAAACACACACATATAAACAATACAAAACCAGGCACAGACATATATTCATGTGTTTGAGTACATAGACATATGCAGTTGTAATCTTATTTCAGTGTTGAGACTGTATGTAACAAAGTTCTTTTAACATGGGGTAGACGGGGGCTTTTTTTAGATCATCTGTCTGTGTCGTCCAATGGAATAACATTTTTTTGCACACACATACACACATGTATATGTGCACATATAAAGTGCTGTTCGATAAAAGTGACTCACCTTATCCTTTGAATTTAGCTCAACTTTCATTTCATCGAAGAAGAAAACATTCTTCCAGTCTTCTACAGTGAAATTTTTGTAATAGTGAGCCCATTCAAGTCTCTTGGCTTTGTTGGCTTTGCTTATTAGCGGCTTAAACCTTCATGTACAAGATTTGTAGCCTTGTTCTAACAAGATTTGTAACCTTGTTCTGACAGACTGTTGAAGAGGCAAGACTAACACCTTGCTCCTCGCTTAGACAGGCTGCAATCTCTTGGCTAGTTATAGTCCTATTCTTTGGCAACTTCTCTCTTGATTACCCTGCCAGTTCTATCATCAATCTTTTTCTTTTGTCCTCTTGTTTCCTTCCTTGGAAAAGGAGTGGCATCATGATGTGCCCTAAGCACTCAAGAGACAGTTGATTGCAAGGTTATAGCAATTTTCTTGTAGACTTGCCTGCTTTTGAAAGGACAATAATAGATGCCTTAAGTGGTTCTGATGCGTGTTTGTATCCTTTCATCTGGTTAGTAACTTGAGCGGCTATTTCAAGCTGTTTTTATACTGTATGAGGCTTCCTGGAATATTCTAGATTTAATTTAAGCTGTTCTAGAATTCTGTAGAATATTGTTCTGAGTGTATTGCAAAATAGTTTTCAGTATTTTGTCAAAAGTTCCTTAAATTTACCAGTTTAATCATTAGAATGCGATATCTCAGTCACTTTTTTTGCACAGAGTTTTTTTCCTGAATCTCATTTATATCCAAATTTATAATTATCAATAGAATACCTTAGGGTGAATAAACTTTTTTCCTAGGTGGTCGGGAAGGGGTCTTTATATTAATAAGATTAAAAATTATTTTAACCCCAAAAACAATAGACAAAATATATTTTTAGTAAAAAAAATCAGGTGAGTCACTTTTATCAAACAGCACTGTATTTCTATCCATCTGGGCCCTACATTGCCCCATTGCTTAGGTTCTGTATGTAAATATGGCGGTAATGATGGTTTTATTTTTAGTGCTGATTGCTTGTATATTGTAGACGATTGCAGTTATATTGATAGTGCTAATAATTGGTATTCTAGTTGGTAATAATAGTTATTGGTGTGTTAGCAGTAAATTCAGCTCTAATGTTGATGGGTAAAGAAAGTATAATGGTAAAACATTTGAGAATAATGACAATTATAATTATGGTAATATATGTAGGAACATAAAAATGATGGTGAAAATAGTAAAAATAAAATAATAATTACAATAATGAGAACAATGACAATAGTAAAAAGCAGTACGAATGGTAGATTATATATATATATATATATATATATATATATAAAAACAATCATTTCACCCCAGTAAAACAATAAATCCATGAAGATGCTTGAAGGTTAGTAAATACAGAATATGAGAACAAAATAAGGAAAGAGGACAATAAAAGGACAAGAATTAAAAAGACAATAGATAACAATTGACATTACATTTAAATTTTTGAAGATCAAAGTTGACTGGAAAGTAAGAAACCAGGAGAGAGTTCCAATGCAAAAGAAGAAACTGTTAGCATAAAATTTATGGTTACATCTAACAGCCATTTCAACTGTAAAAGGATGAGACCTTGCTGCTAATCTAGTACTATGTTTAATTTAAATTCATAGAGTCTATGTACCATAAAGGAAAGTTCATCAGAACAATTACCATGAAAGTATTTGTAGAAAAAGGCACAGGGAAGCTAATATATATATATATATATATATATATATATATATATATATATATAAATGTATATATAACAAAGTAAGGATTAGTGGATTTAGTCTGGTTGAACATTACTAGTGAATAGTAAGTTTGATCCTTCCTGAGTTCCCTATATCTAACAATATCCTAACAATGGTTGATAAGTTGTAAAATCAATTTAACTAAACTAAATTTGCAATTCATTATCATAAAATTGCAAATGATTATACTATAAAATGTATTGTAAATGATTTTATTATAAAAATACATTGTAAGAGTATATTAATATTAAAATTATTTTCAATGCACTTGTATAGTAAAATCATTTGCAATGAGTTTTATAATAAAATGATTTACTGATGCCTCAGCATTGGATAATGTTTAATGAAGTTGATATGGCTGACCATGATCTTACTACTGAGTATTAATTTTGATTGGCACTGGGTGCCCCATACAAAATTCAACATTAAATAACCCAATGAAAGTGGACATGTTTCAAATCAACCAACCTAACCCAACGTACGTATGTGTGTGTGTGTGTGTGTGTGTAATTTCATCCCAAGCTAAACAATAAAGCCACTAAGACACAAGACGTTATTGAGTGTTAGAGAATATAAGAAAAACTAATATTAAGGAGAGAGGACAATAAAAAAATTAAGAAAACAGAGGATAATGATTGACATTGCATTTAAATTTCTGATGATTAGAATTGGCTGGGAAGGAAGAACCTGGGAAAGAGTTTCACAAGCAAGAAGTGTAATAGAAGAAACTGTTAGCATAGAACTTACAGTTACATCTGACCATTTCAAGTGTTAATTAATGAAACCTTTTTGCCAATCTAGTACTGTGCTTACATTCATAGAGTCTAGGTATCAGAACAATTACTGTGAAAGTATTTATAGTAAAGGTAAAGGGAAGCTAAGTTAAAGCAGAAGGAAAGGGTCTGAAGCCAAGATACCAGGTCAGGACCAATAACATGTAGGATTTTTTATGTGCATGTTTCAGAAGTGAGCATTTTCAAAAAAAACATTCTTCCATGAGTTTTGACTTTTTGTTCTTTTGTGTTGCTTTTGTTATTAGCCAAACATTTCAGATGATAGTATATTAATAGACACTATTCTTCTCTGTTCAATTCCCTTTTCTGTAGAAGAGAGACTTTTTTTTACTTAGAGATTGTATACCTGAAGAAGGTTAGAGTAGAAATTGGCTGAAATGTTAGGTTAATAACAAAAGCAACACAATACCAAGCTAGTAATGTTTCATCATCAATGAGTTTTCTCCAGTCATGATGAACAGTTATAATCTCAATGATGCTGCTTCTCTTGACCATTTATTGGAAGTGAAACTCACTCCAGACCCCAAATATATACAATACATCACTAAAGATGCTGGAAAAATGGTCTGTTCCTTATGCCACTCTTGAAAGTATCAGATTCCTCCTGACATACTCTATCTTTACAAGAGTCAGATCAGATTCAAAATGGAGAAATGTTGGCATATCTGTGATGGAGCTGACCAATCCTCACTTTCCAACATTGACAGAATTTAAAAGCATTTATGCAGCCTTATGGGTGATGAACTATTTTTTGCTTTACAACCCCTTTCCTAAACATTTCTAGCCTATTGCTACTTTATCACTATTTTTATGACCAATATTCAGAGAACCTACATTACTTAGTTCCACTAGTTCAGACCTTCACAGCTAGTACCTGCAATGCCACACACTCAGAGTTGACTCATTCTCTTTGTATTCCATTCGTAAGAAGGAAATTCCACTCAGCTTCTTCCTTAGAACTGCTTCTGTGTGGATAGACTCCTGAGAGGATGGTTCCCTGATCACTAGAATCTTAACCTCTTCAAGTCTAGCCTCAACTGTTATCTATCCTCCATATCCTCATAATCTGTACCTCTTACCGCCTCCTCTTACAATGCCCTTACAACAACCTCCTTCTGTAACCCTCTACCTTGAGTGGCTCTTGGGCTTTTTATTGGGTGAACAATAGTATTAAAAAAATAAATATAAACCAATTATCTGAAGAGTTCATGCCAATCTGAAGAGTTATAATCAGAATTTCTGGCTTTCAATCAAATGATTTATTTAAATACTAACACTTTGAACATTAACATTGTAAAATTAAAGATGGTTATGGAAAATTAAATGTTGTTTTCTTGCCAAGATAATATGTGATAAACTCTTATTTCTCAGTCATCCTTTATTATTTAAGGTCAGTTCTGCTGGAATAGATAAATTGTTAATAATTTTGGTTGATTATCTTATAAGTTTAAATCTTTATCTCAGATAGCTGCTATGAGAGAAGACATGTTAATTTTTTTTTTAATTATTTTTCTTTTTTGTGATTGATAATTAATTTTTTTTACAATAATGTTCACCCTGTACAAGGCTCAAGGGCCACTTGAAATAGAGGCTTACTGAGTATGAGATTAGAAACTTGCTAAGTAGTAAGCCAATTATCAAATATAGTATATATATATATATATATATATATATATTAGTTATGAAAGTAGTTATCTTTCTATATTTGTTTTTCTCACTCAACAGAGTTTATGGGTAGATTTTAAAATCAGTCTCTGTTCAGTAAAAACTGTTTTCAGTGAATAATAAGATAAAGAGAGAAAAAATTTTACAGGAAAAGTCAATTTTATTCAGAGCAATAAACAAATAAAATAAAAAATATCTTCAATTGACATATTTTTTACTCTGTCATAAACAATGTAATGATCACTGATGATTACACTACATATTTTCCATTACATAAGTTTATCATATTTTATTTCTATATTATTTATTAAAAAATAATGAAGCAATTTTTTTTGAAGTCATATAAAATATGAGTTTACAAATAGAAAGCAAAAAATAGTATTGAAAAATCATCCTAATTTATTTTTATTTTCTCACCCACAGCTTTATTCTAATCTTAAATTAACTTTACACTTATATTAAACATTACATAATTCTTTTTGCTTTTAATTAATGGATGATAATTGTTGATATTTGTATTCTTATGTTTGTTGTTATAATTTTTTTTAAAAGAAAATATTTCTAACTTCAGAATTTAGAGTTAATCTACAATTTTCTTTTCTGATTTTCATCTGGAAACATCTTTTATAAAAATTGTGAAATCATTTTTTAGATTTTAGTAAAAAAATAAAAATATAGTGACTTTCTTTTTTTTTTAACTTTTCACCGCAAGCAAGACGGAAGTGCCACTAGCACACAAGGGGTTACAGAAAGTGGGAGCAAGGGTAAAGAGGTGTGAGAGAGGAAAGGATGAAAAGAAGGACAGGGAATAGATCAAGGCATCTGGAGATGTTGATTGACATTGCATTTGAATAGTTGGAGATTATAGGTATCAGGGAAGCAAGTAAGAGGAAGGGAGTTCCATAGATGGGAAGTGTGAGACATGAAGCTACTGGAGTAGAAGAGACAACTACATTTAAGCATTTTGACAGTGAAAGGGTGGGACCAAGATGCCGACCTAGTGGCACATTTAAATTCTTGTAGTTTGGGAACTAGCGAAAATAGCTCATCAGAGCAGTTACCATGAAAGTATTTGTAGAAAAAACAGAGGGAGACGACAGCATGTCTGTGAGAGAGTGACTGTAAATGAGATGCCAGATCAGGGACAACCACATTGCATATTTGTCTCTGGATTTTGTCGAGGACCCTAAGACAAACAGCGGGGGCTCCAGACCATATATGACAATTTCTCATGTGTTTGTATAATATATATTGCTCATTAAAAGAATGAAATATCAATTTTTATATATATTTTGCGCAGAGTTGATACAGACTCAACAATGAACAACCAAATGTACAAAATCATAATGCAGTTTAAAGAAAACCTTACAAAACTCATTAGTCATAAAGGTATGTAGAAAAATGTTTTTTATATATTTACAATTGTATTTTTCCAGTTGTATCATATTGATTTCTAGACAAACCAATGGAAGTTTTGCGTCATCTGCTTTTTTCACCTGTAAATCAAGTTTTATTCACCTCTAATTTACCATCAATGATACATATTCATTTAAGATTGGGATTTGTACTGATGGCCTTTTGAATTTTACTGTAGAATTTACTTGAAACAATAAAAATTTAAATCTCTCATAAAAATGATCCAAATATTATTTCAGATAGTAAAATCAAAAGGTTGCAATTAAACATTTTGCTGGAAATATATTAAGAATAGTGGGTATTGTAGCTTTAGTCAGTCTATATTGACAATTTCTATGTCTTATTGCTTGCACTCTTCTTGTTTTTACTTTTATATTTCAATTTGAAAAAATAAATCAAATTCACTGTTTTTCTTTTGATATGCTAGCATTCAATCTCATGAAAATGTAAAACTTAGTTCCAAAGCATCTGAAAATATTGTTCAAAGGAAAGAGAAAAATACTTTTATGTATTGCCAAAGAGATGAAAATTAAATTGTATTTGTTAGATGTATATACAAGGTGAAACAATTTAATTTCCAGAATGAGTTTGTTTACTTCGTCACCACTGGTTGCTGCTACCTTCAAAGTACTCCTCTTGTGAAGCTATACACTTTGCGAAATGATTGCATCATTCCTGGAAACGTTATTGAAACTCATTTTCTGGAATCCCTTTCAGTAATGTAGTCATGATTCGCTGAATGTCAGGGACATCAGAAAATCTTTGTCTTTTGGGCACATTTTTTTTTATTTTGAACAGAGATAAAACTTTTAGATTTATGAACTGATATTCTTAATGTGACTATGATAAATATCTTTGATAGGTTTTAAGTAAATATGTAATTAGGGTTATAACATTTTTTTAGAGAAATCTTATGAGGATGTATTCTCTTTTAGGTGAACTAGAAGACCATAACAGAAAATAATCGTCGCCATTTGCAAGTAATGTGCATATTAAATCAACTGGAGGGAAAGTATTTCCTACTTACCTGACTAATATTATTTACTACTACTATCCCCTAATAATCATCATATTATAATTCTGCTTGTTCCTTACATATGTTAGGCTCTGTAATAGCTTGCCTGTCCCCTGCCTACAAATTTAACTTGCCCACAAATACTTGATATTGCAGCAGCAGACAGAATAAATCTCTAACCCTTTTTTTAACTTCCAGAAAGCCTCATTCTGAGCTGTATATACATGTTTCTAGAAATAAATAAAAGAAAGATAGAAGAAGTTATAACACTCTTGTGCATTTAACATCTGCTTCATTGAAAGGATATAATAATATGAAATATGCCAGATGGAAATTGTTAGTTACATTAATAAAAATTAGTAAAAGCATAGAAATTGCATGGGTCCTGCTCTACATGATTAAAGGAAATAGATGTCATAAAATCCAATTTGAAAAATGCTGAGACATTAAAACATTTTTTGTATAAAATGGTGACATAACCAGAATGCCAGAATGCTTTTGTGTCACATACTATTTTTGCAAAAAGAAAAAAAGGGAAAAATGCCTCTCTGCTGAATGAAGTCAATAAAGGAGCTTTTATTAACCAGTCATGGTTCAAGTGTCACTGAGGGGAAATGGATTGCATAGAAAAATATGCTAACATGAATAGCAAACCGTAAAGGGTTCAATAAACTGCTACAAAAAAAAATTGATTTTTCCCATGAGGGAAAACATTGTGAGACTGCAAGAGATTTAAACCTTGTGAAATTTTATTATACAGTTAACTATTTTATATAAATGACTTGATGCAAACAGTTAGGCTTATGTTAGCAGTGAAAAAATGAAATTGTGCACTTCAAGGTTACGGTTGTCTAAGAATCCAGTGTGAAAAATTTTTTAAAAATACTGCAGAATTTCTGCAAGTTATATTCAGTGTATCTAAATATCAGAATTTTTATTTAATTTTTTTCTTCTTCTTTTTCTTTTATTGAAAATGAAGATCATCAAGAAAAGCAAAGCATGTAGTTGAGTAGGGATTTTTACAATTTTGCATTGGTTCATAGAATTTGAGAATTAACCTTTAGCACTTTACATTATTAATATTACTTCCCTTTCTGCATTCTTTTTCAAGGCCTCTCAATTGCAGTATCTTTATTGTTAATTTCGCTCAAAGTTATTTTCTGTTGCCATAGCAGGATATAACAACACAACTATGAAATTGAAACACACTATTGTTCAGGAATCAGAATCACCTTCAGTGACAGGATAAACATTTTGTACAGCAAATGAAGTGATATATAGAGTGATAAAGGTTAATGAGCTTTATTTACTGCAGAAATAAAATAACATTCATTCACTTGCAGTTTTATATTTAACCATTTCATTCCAAGCAAGGTAATAAAAGATGCAAGGGGTTACTGAGCGTGAAAGAAACCGAGAGGATAATAAAAGAACAGAATTCAGAGAAACGGAAGATATTACAATTAAATTTTTGGAGAGTGTAGTTGTTGGCAAAGCAGAAAACTGGAAGAGAGTTCCACAAGTGATAGATGCAAGAGAAGAAACTATTAGAACTGAACTTATGGTTACAATTAGCAATTTCAACAGTAAAATTATGAGATATTATTGGTAGTCAAGTATTATGCTTAAATTTGTGAAGTCAACATATCAACATTAAAAATTCATTGACTGAAAAAATATAGAAAAGGCACAGGGAAGTTATGTTACGGTGGTGAGAAAGTGACTAAAGCCAAGATACCAGGTCAGGACCAGTAACATTGCAGATTTTTTGTTGGATTTTCTCAACAATCTCTAGATATAAAACATACTATTATGTTTCTCAATGTGACTGAAACATCACATTTCATTTCATTGATTTTTGTTTGCATTATTTTAGATATGAAAAATGACCAAGAAATCCTTGTTGACATTGATTCCATCATTAAAGAAGACAATACCAATAAAGGTACAGAAACTCATTCTGATGAGCTTTTCAAACGTATACAACAGAGTAAGTCCTTCAGATTTCTTTTCCTTTTTGTTTTTAAATATTATCTTTAATTTTTTTGTAAAATATATTTATTATGTGGAAAAATAAAACTAGATTTATTTTAATAATATCTTGTGTTATCATAACATTTATGCAATAAATCTGTAAAGAAAAATTGAGCTTGATTTCACATTTGAAGAAACTGAAGAAATAATCTAGGTGGATTATATACCAGGTTTCTGCAAATAAAAAAATGGAAGGAGGAGAGTTGGGATTTGGAGAGGGGATAAAACATGGCTGAGTTGAGAAGACACCCTATTATTGCTGTTATGGTTGGTGACTGTTTTTATTTATCTGAGTCAGTGGGCTCACTGTGCGTGCACATCTATCACTGTTTAAAAAGAAGAAAACAAATTTTTACAATATTTTGGCATTCCTGAGTTGCAGGATTTCAATGATATATGATGGCACAAAGACAGGTAAGTGAATTTTTATTCTTCTCTGCCACGAAAGCACAAAATCTTTATATACCACAGATATAAGTAATACATTTTCTTTTTCTTTTATAGCATTCAAAGATATTACTCAATTGATTTATGATCAGGTAAGTCCAAATATATATATATATATATATATATATATATATATATATATATAGTTCATTATTTAACCATGACAATAAAATTCATTAAATTGTCTTTTCTAAGTTGTTTGACATCTACTTTATTAACACCTAAAGTAATCCACTCTATCATCTGATGACAGCATGATTTACAATTTATTAGATGTGTACAAAAGTTTCCAACAATTTTTATTTATATTTTTTTATTTTTTATAAAGATGTTTTCTACTATGCATTCACTTTCTACTTTGCTAAAAGAAAGGTACTGGGAACTTTGAACATAATGAATACAAGACAATTTTTTTCCGAAATGGAATAATTCAAATCTTGCACTTAATGTTCTGGTATTATGCATGGAAGGGTAATCACTGAAAGATCAAGCTGTACAAAAAATGTATGATTGAAGATATATACTAAAATCATTTTCTAAAATACTCCTTTAAAAAATATTTATCCTAGTAAATCAGTAAGTCTGTAGCTTAATGATGAAAAATGCCTTTATTTTACACACCAAATATTTTTCAATATAATCTCTTTCCCCTGTTAATGCACTTAATTCAAAAGTGAATATTAATCACAGATTGAACATTATACAGGGAAAATTTCAGTTCATAACTGTATGTCAGTCTTATTGGTCTGCTCTCATAATAATTATTTTGTTAGATGTGACAGGAATTGATACATGATAAATGTTGTTTTCATATGTGGGATGCCACATGAATTGATATGCAATAAATGCTGTGTTCACATGTGGGACACCACATGAAACAATATAAGTGTTATGTTCACATGTCAATGAAAGTAAGTAAATATCATATGTTTCTTGTTCTTGCTTTGATTCTTTTGCCATTCATTCATAATCTGCAACAGATTATGAATGTATGTCACATAAATGTTGGAATTTTTCCCCCAGTTTCAACAGCAACAAGTTCAGCAGTTGACAAACGAGAAAGGTTATCCATCTCTTGACAGTGAGAGCTTACCAACAGACAGCCAAAGACAAAACCTGCCTAGCATGACTTCAGAAAAAAGTACGTCTCCAAACAAAATTGCCATGAGAGAACTGATGGATCTCTACAATCAGTTGTAAGATATTTTCTTTTTTTCTCATGTGAATAAATTATTTTCATAATTCAGAACATTTTCCCATATATTCATTATTATGTGAACTAAATTTTCTTGCTGATATTAATGAATGTTTCTTTTTTTTATCACCACCATAATGATTATTTGTTAGAATAGCAATCTCAGCTTTTTTATTTACTGTGTGAAACTGCAATCCCCTACAATTGACCTGATATTATCCACATTCATCTGAAGAGGATACAATTTTTTTCTTTTTATCAAATATAAAACTAATATAAACCTAAATGTAGAAAATAAAGCCATGATCTCCTGGAATCAAAAGAACAGAGGTGTTTAGCTTAACAGCATATCCTGATGACAGAATCAAAAAAACTGTCCATATTCAAATATAACATTATGGAGTACTTAATGGAATCAAAATTAATTTTTAAAGCACATTTTTAGGCTTAAACATTTGAATGTCTCTTCCTAAAAAAAAAAAAAAAGGAAAAATGGAAGTCATTAAGAAAAGACCGATAACACTAAAAGTGATCTCAAAGGCAGTTTACAGTTACTTGAATCATCTCCTTAACTATCCTTGTCAGATCTAAACTTTCATTCAGAAATGTTTAAACTATCATCTGTATAAAACCATTCTTGCAGATAAATGGTTAAAAACTTTCAAACAAATTAATCCGCCAAATCTTAAAGAAGACAATCTTCCATCAGACCCTATAGATTAGCATTACAAAATCACAAATGATGAGTTTTACCAAATAACAAGAACCACATCACTCAACTTTCAACAGCAGCAACAACTAAAATAAATAGCACATGTAACTAAAAGGGAAAATAATGATATAATCAAAATGTTACCTTTCTACACTACCAAAAACAAAAAGAGTGGAAAGAATATTAAAAAGAACTATGATACTTAATAGACTTAAGAAGATTAATTTCCTGAAAAATTGTTTTAATAAAAAGACTTTATAAATTTTCACTGACAGTAACACTAACTTTTTGGTCAATGAATATTGTATGGAAACATGGAAGCTAATTTTATTATAACCATAGGTTTAACATAAATATTAGCTGAATTCATGTTGAGAATGTGTCAAAGATATACAAATGGAATCTATTTAAAATTATATGAATGAGAAAATAAACAAAAGACAATTTTTGTGGTGTTGGCTTTAGAAAAGGAAATATGCTAGATACTAATTTTGTTGCAAAGAATATCTTGCATATACTATCTTTATTTTAAATAGCTTTTATTTTTCAGATTTTTGTTGCTCTATCAATCATGACATATATTCAATTAGAGAAACAGGATTGTTATTTTTTTCTTATTTTTAGGCAAAGTCAAATAATTGAAGACACTCAGAAACATGAAGCAGAGCAAAGGTTTGTAAACTCAGAAGCTCTAAAGTTTTCAATTATTGGCACTAATTATTTTAATTAAAACATTAATGTTTTTATTGATGTCCTATTACTGACCATAAATAGGGCCCCAAGCTGATATTTTTTTTTATTTGATTTAATGAATTTAACCATCATGGGAGATTTGAATGCTAAGTTATGGGAAGGAGAAAGATAGTGAAATAGCTGGCATATTCATACTAGAAACTCTTAACAAACATGGAGAAAAATGGGTCTAGTGGTGCATGGCAAATGATCTAGTAGCCAACACCTGGTTTTGAGAGCTTACAAGACTAATATGGACAAGAAAAGAGAGACAAAGAAACTAATTGATTACACAATGGTCAATAAAAAATTCAGTTTCAGTTCTGACTAGGAGCAACCACCTTTCAGTAAATGTAACTTTAGAGTGAAGCTACAGAAATTGAAGAAGGCGAAGACAGTACCCAAATTGCAATACAACAAACTCTTGAATGATCCAAATTTGAAGGAGAATATATGAACAGCATTAAACTCTGAATTGGTTAAGTATCTCACTTCACATGGCATTCTTTCAGATAAAGAATGTGGCTTTTGTTTCTCTAGGTCAACTGCCAATGAGAAACTGTTATCACTGAATTTGTTTATCTGGCTTTAGATAAGAACACTGAAGCTCAGGCTGCAGACTTAGACAGGGTTTGGCGTGCTAGCCTTTTCCACAAACTCAAGGGCTATGATGTCTCTGACTGGATATTTGAATTAATCCAATCATTCTTAACAAATTGGGTAATGAGGGTCATGTTGAACAACCATGCTTCTAGATCATTTCACATTAATGTGGGTTCACTTCCCCAGGGCTCTATTCTTGGACTTATGTTGTTTCTCATCTTCATCAACAACCTTCCAGATGTCATCAGTTCCTAACTATGTATTTATGCTGAAGACACAACTATTTACTCCTGTTTTAATCATAAGTCCGATAGATTCAACAAAGTAAAACTGGCAGCTGCTTTCAAAAATGACATCTGATTAGTTGTTAACTAGAACAAGAAATGGCTTGTAACTTTGAACACCTCCAAAATAAAACTGCTATTTTTTATTTATCATAGAGTAGCATTTTTGTCCTCCATCAGTATGGCTAATGCTAACTTCCAATAGAGCAATTAATTGCTCTTTCTTGGTCTCATGTTTTCTACTGATATGATATGGCATGATTATATTGAATCAATTGCTTGATCTGCTGCTAAAAAGATTGATTCACTGTGTCACGACAGACAATTTTTCTTGCCAGAATCCATCTTGCACATTTATAAATCTACCATTCATCTATGCATTGAATATTACTGCTATATATTGTCTGGTGCTCTGGCTATATATCCCAAAATTATTGACAAAATCCAAAGAATAGTCTACATTGTTATCGGTCCTGACTTAGCATTTTGACTTCAATCACTTTCCTACCACCGTAATGTAGCTTACCCTGTCTTTCAGTGTTTTCATGACAATTGTTCTAATGAGTTCTACTCCTTGATACCTCAACCGCATGAATTTAAGTGTACTACTAGATTGGCTATTAGGCCGCATCGTTTTACTGTTGAAATAGCTAGATCTAACCCCGAGTTCTATTCTTATAGTTTCATTTCTTGGAATTCTCACCTCTGGAACTCTCTTCAGGTTTCTTGTTTCCATGCTACCTACAATCTTCAAAAATTTAAATACAACATCAATCACCATCTTCTGTTTTCCTGAAACCTGTTCTGTTATTGTCCTTTCTCTTCACTAGAGGAAAAAAAGGAATGGGTGACAGATTAAAAAAAAGCTTTAGTAACATCAGCAAACAAAATCATCCCAAAGAAAAATGGCAAAAAAAAAAGAATGGATGACATGAAATTCTCAACATGATGAAAAAGAGACAAAGACAATGCCAATATATGGCATCAAATATAGGAGAGTGCACAAAAAAATTAGAAACAAGTGTATGCAGGCAAAAGAGGAATGACATGAAAAGTGCATGGAAATATAAATAATTAGTATTACAAATAAAGCAGATATGCATACAAGAATAAGAGAACTAACAGGACAAAAGACATGCTCATCGACAGGATGCATAATATCCAAAAATGGAATACCTATAAAGAAAGAAAAAATAGTTCAGAAATGGAATGGAGACATTGGAGAACTCTTCCATGATAAAAGGAGAAACCTGTAATATATAGTAATATCAAAGGACCAGAAATATTAAAATCTGAAATGAAATCAACACTAGCCAAACAATGCAGATGATGGCAGTCTTGGATGATTTTAGCATTGACAATATTACAGACATAATAGATGAAATTTATGACAATGGTGAGTTACTGGAAGACCTAAGTAGATTCATTTTCATAGTGCTGCTTAAGAAGCCAGGTGCAAACAAATGTGAATTCCATCAGACAATCAACCTGATGAGCCACATAAAACTTATCATCTAAATTCTGATGAATAGAGTGTGCAACAGAATTATATCTGGAATTATTCATTGTTTACTGTGAAGCAATCCTAAGTGAATTAGAAGTCCTACCTATCATTATTGGCAGTCACAAAGGAAAACAAAAAGAAAGGACTAAACATCAATTGTAAGAAGATAGAATATATAGTTGTTATCAAAAGAAATAGTCCAACATGTGAATTACAAATTGAAAATACCAAAACAAAGCAAGTACAAAAATCTAAATACTTAGGAAGTGTTTTAACAGGAGACAGAAAATGTGACATTGAAATCTGAAGGTACATTGGGATAGCTAAAGAAGCCTTCCAAAAGCTCAGCAAAGTATTAAAAAAACAGGAAAATTTCATTAGAAACAAAGAAAGGAGTACTGAACTGTTATGTCATATCAGTCTTATACGGCAGTGAATGCTGGACAATCTCCTGAGAGATGAAGAAGAGACTTGAAGCAACAGAAATGTGATTCTCTTGGAGGCTGAGAATATCATGGTCCAAACATGTGAGCAATGATGAAGTTTTAAGGAAAATGGTAAAAAATGAATCAGATGCTTAGAATCAAAAAGAAAATTGTAATTTCTAGGGCATATGATGAGGAAAGAGGGCTTGGAAAATTTGTCACACACAGGACATATTGAAGGGAAGGAAAACAGTGTAATAAGCTTGTGTAAATGGTTGGCAGAACAGGGATTGGAAGATAGAGCAAAAAAACAAACTATACAAAGGACAGGAAATTGTGGAAAGCCATGATTGCCCACATCCTGAAGAAACACATCATGTAGAAGAAGAATTAGAATCAGTTCAATTTTTTTAACTTTATAAATATTGGAATATACATTAATTTTGTTTCTACGGTTTTTAAAATTTAAGATTTGTAAAATTTAATTACTTTTCTTAATTTATTACATCACTTAGATTTGGCACAGATCCAAAGTTATAAGATTGTATGTTTTGTTATATATTTTGTTTGCTTCTGCTTGATTAGCAATATTATTTCACTTTTTAACATGTTATATTGTTATATTATTTAAAACTTAAAAAGAATAGTTAAGAATTGATGTTATTTCAGACATATTTATTTATATGTAACTTAAATATATTTCCAAGCCTTTAGGAAAGAAAGTAGTAGAATGGTAAATAGTAAAATTTACTTAAAAGATACTTTAAGTATAACATGATGCTTGCCGACAAAGTTAGAAAAATAATAATTTAAAAAGTTAAAAGCAATTTTTGATTTAATGGAAAAAGGAAAATATTTAAAGAAAAATAAATAGAAAAATTGATTTTCAAAGAAATGCAAGACCATTGTCTGCAACCTTTTACTTATAGGAGATATGCTTGGCAAAAAAAATTGCATTTATGACCCTCTCTCCACACCATAGAAAAGAATATAAGGGTGGAACTATCCAGATCTTGAAAGTTACAAGGGTTGGCTGGAAAGCTCTTAGGCTGACTAAGATATAAGTATAAATAGACACACCAGTTGGTAGACTAAAAGACAAGCTGTTGTATTTTGGTTCACTTGCATGTCTTTTAGTCTACCAACTGGTGTGCCTACTTATACTTATATCTTAGTCAGCCTAGGAACCTTTCAGTGAAGCCTCATAGGTGCAAGGAATTTTAGAAAGTCATAAAATTAGGGAATTAATTTATCTTTTTATTTTTTATTTTTGTTACATTCCATAAATCTTTGGCTAGTACTTTGTATAATGTTAATTAATTTTGCTTAATTAAACAGAAGATCAATTCTTATTTTAATCAATTTTTCATACAGGCATAATTCATTGGTTATGATTGAAATGCAAGATAAAATTACTAGCTTACAAGAACAATTGGAATTAGCCAGAAAAATTCAAAGGGATTCAGCCAAACAGGTATAAAATTTTATGTTATAGTCTATTAGTAATTGTTTCTTGACCTGAATTTCAATTCAGTATTATACCTGGTGAGAAATTCTATTCAAAATGACATTTCATACAGTTACTTCATAATTGGTCATGACAATGCCTCCATATTTATGACTAATATTTGAAACAATATATATTTTTATCAGACAAAAAAAGGACAATATGTTCAGACCTTTACAATTAAAACCTACCATGCCATGTACACAGAGGTGAAACATCCTCATTCCCTTCATATTCCATTGATAAGGAGGAAGTTCCATTTCGACAACTTCTTCCCCAGAACTGTCATTTTGTGAAAAAGACTCTCCAGAGAGTACTTCTCTGACCACTACAATCTTAACTTCTTCAAATCTTGGGTCAACCATTATCTATCCTACATATCCTCATAATCTACAATTCTTATGTCCATAAAACAACTTTGTTCAGTAACTCTTTACCTTGAGTGGCTCTTGTGCTTAAAAAAATGTGTACTCATAATTGAATTACAGTATTTGAAATTTATTTTATAAAATTTGTAATTTTTCATCAATATTGAAAAGACACTTTTTTTTTATTTTAACATTTTTATCTCTTCATTATCCTTTTGCAGTATGCTCCTTATAATTATCCGGTGATGTTCACACGTTTGGACTTAGAACGCAATGCCAAAATAATGACACGTGCTCTTGCCTCACAACATATCAGCGATGATAGATACAAGGTAAAGCCTATGACTGATCCTTAAATGTTTGGCTGTCTTTTCATATCTTTATAGTCCTTTATAAATACCTATGTATAGAGTGCCTTAACAATTTGAATGATGCCTACATGCCTATTAGTTAAGTGTTTCTAATAAATTTTCAAGAAAATGTTATTGAGTGAACATCTTTTAAATCTCTGCATTTTATTCTGAAAGTATAGTATCATCAGTAAGCTTCTCAAGGTCTTAATCAACAAGAACAGGAACAACCACTTGTGCAATGAGCAGTATGAGTTTCGATCAGCTTGACCCACTACTGATGTCCTAATTAGCATTACACATAGAATTAGTAAGGCCCTTGATGACACACATACTGCAAGGACCATAGCATTAGATATTTCAAAGACCTTCAACAAAGTGTAGCACAAAGGTTTGCTACACAAGCTCTCCAGCTATTGAATCACTGGAAGGGTTTTCTCTATTATAAAATCCTTCCTAACAGGTAGATCCCTGAATGTAGTTATTAATGGTCAGTCCTCCAAGGCCCAGGGGTCACTTCTCAGACCAATCCTCTTTTTGGTTTACATAAGTGATCTATCTAAGAATATAGTCAAATCATTTGTAAGCATTTATGCCGATGATGTGACAATATACGAGCGCACCTCTAAACGTTTTGACCATCAGAGATTGGCAGTTGACCTCTCCTCTGATCTAACACTAACTTCCCAGTGGGTAAAAAACTGGCTGGTTACATTCATTGTCTCTAAAACCAGTGTGGTTACATTCCATCACTGTTGATCAGACCCAGAACTACCACGAATCACGATGAATAGATGTCCCCTCAAGGAGGCCCTGTGCCTCAAACACACACCTGACCTCAAGTAGAATTCCTACATACGAATTGAATTACAGCAAGGTAATCGAGTAAAACCCCCAAACTTTTCTGGGAATGAAAATATTAAATTTTTAAATTTCATTTATCGAATAAAGTTCATAACAATGTTTATTCTTTTTCAAATTTATTTTCAATTCTTTTGATTAATTTACCTTTTTGATAAAAGTTATTGCTTAAGATTTTCCTAAAAAAATCAATTTATCACAAGTAAAGGGAGTGAAATTAAAAACAAAATAGGAGTTATGTTTTTCTTTAAAGTATAAAGAATGTATAGCAGATTTGAAATTAATATTTCTTGCTAATTTTTATGCTTTTGTTTAATCAGTCTTAACCAATCATAATCTCTTAATATAAAATCAATTTGGCAGTGTTTAACCTTTTGCAAAAAATAATGTGTCAAAAGAATGGCTATTCCCTTGACACTACTATTACTATATGCACTTTTGACTCCCCTGGCAATGTTTATTGTTTTTAAAAAGCAATAATTAGAATTTTAATAAAATGCAAATATATGAAAGTGGAGTTAGACATTTTTTTATTCTTGAGAACTTACAATTAGATATTAAACACTATCTATTACATTGCATAAAAAACTTGTTTTCATAGTTATTTATAAAATAGGAATTATTAATAAATATTGCATTGTAGTTGGTTTACATATGTTGGTAATTTTTTATAAATTTTTTAATAAAAATATTTCTTTTCAAATTTATTTCTTTAAAAAATGGTAAATAAAACTTTATAAAAGGTAAATAATATTGCATTATTCACACATTTTTATAATCTTGTAAATAAATATTTCTGAGGGAGTCAAAAGTGTATACAGTAATAGCAGTGTGAAGGGAATGACTGTCTTTTGACACACCATTTTTTTTTGCATGTATGAAAGTTAGACATTGCCAAAATTATAATTCTATAGTTTAAAACCTCATCATAAAAACTCAAAACTTATAAATGAACACTAATAAAAATAATACAAAAATTTTGAATTGGATTTATGTCATTCAGGAATTAGTAAATAAAACATAAAACCATAATGTTTTTTTGTTGTTTTGTAGGATATCATCCAACAAATGGCAGATTATATTTCTCTTCCTGTGCTACGTTTCCAACAGTTAGTACATCGATATGTACACCATTGTCGTTTAAAGCAAATCTATGGTAGGACATTGGTATTATCTTTAAAATTGCCTTTATATGAACATATTTAATTCATTAGATATCTTGTTATTTCTAATATCATTTATTTTTAAAATTCTCTCAAGTGAAAATTAACTTATTTATGGATGGCAAAGGATGTATACCTATGTTTTATAGATTATGCCAAAGTGTTTAAGTACATCACAAAGAACTGTTGCAACTGCTAGGTAACCATGACATATTTAGGAAGAATATTATAATAATTCAGAACCAATAATGCAAGCAAACCACCTGCATATGAATAAGAAATGAATTTAGTAAATATACAAATATAGAAAGGGGTGAAAGTCAAGGATGTGTCTTCTCACACACAAGACTTATTCAATGTTTACAGTGAAGCAATCCTGAGAGAATTAGAAGTCCTACCAGGATTTATTATTGCCAGCCACAATCTTAACAACATAAGATATGCTGATGACATAGTGTTGATAGCAAATGCAAAAAATAAACTAAATAACTCCTACAGAAGGCAGTGAAAGAAATTGAGAAGAAAAGATCAATTGCAAGAAGATAAAATGTATTGTTGTTAGCAAAAGCAACAGCTCAACATGTAAATTACAAATTCAAGATACAAAAATTAAACAAGTACAAAAATTTAAATATATCAAAAGTGTGTCTATATTTCTGAGATGAGGTATTGTAACTATTTACACTATTTACATTATTCAAACTTTTGTCCTCATTTTTATTGCCATATTCATCATATTTTGGCCATTGTATGCTGCAGCCTTCTTCAGGTGATATACACTGGAATTTTTAACCAAACTCTTTATTTCATCCATGAGAGTAGATTGTTCTAATTCCACATGCCATGCCTTTTTTTGATATCTCAGTTTCAATTATTTACCCTTTAGTAACTCAACTCTCCAAGTTTTTGTTCTCTCTGTTGTGGCCAGACATTGAACTCACAACTCTTTGGGTCAAGTCACTTTTTGGATCATTGAACAAATGCTTTTATCCACTGGGCTATGTGTCCTTAGAAAGTGTTTCAACAGAGAACAAAAAGTGTGCCACTGGAATCCAAAGGTGTATTGGAATAGTGAAAGATGCCTTTCAAAAGCCAAGCAAAGTATTAAGAAACAGGAAAGTTTTAATAAGGGGAAAAATATTTATGTTAATTTCATTTTTTAGGTGATCTTTATACAGCAATTTAACCTCATGTCTAGAATGTGTATAAAATCTAGTGGCATGAATGAGAAAAATTTTTGATGGAGATAAAGATTAACTTAAAATTAGATCATGATAGAAAATAATTTGTTGCAAATCCTTTGATTACAGGTTACATCAAACAGCAGTCAGAGATAAATTATTTACGAGGAGGTGCCAACATAAAAGAAACATATCAGCTACAAAAAGTTGTCAATGTTCATAATCAGGTAAACTTAGAATTTTGGTGAAAGTCTCTGATTGTGATGTAATATATGTTGGTTCAAGACCCTTTATATTTTCAGTAAATGAAGTTGAAAGCCTCAAGCAGAATTTGAGTGATCGAATGCCTAATAATCAGAGATCTCTCTCTCTCTAGTGATTAAACTTCTTAACACTAGAGAAAGAGACAGACAGACAGGCAGTGTGGACATAAGAATCAACACTGCATGGTGACTGGCAGTTTCATATGTCAGTGTCGTTTTCAGTCTTAGTCTGGAGATCATATTGAAACATGAAACTGGCAGTCATCATGCAATACTGATTCCTATGTCCACACTGCCTAGATCTCTAAATGCTCTATTTCCAATATTGAGCACTCTTCTATATTCTCCTATAGATCTATAGATATAGCAAATTTCAAACAACATATACAAGTACTTGGGTTCAAAAAAAAAAAACTATGGCACCTTCCTTGATGAATTTCATCTTAACATCAAGAAACTGATTAGAGAACTGGAAAGGATCAGTATGTAAATAAATAGACCTAATATGTCTATACTATTCCATGAAAAATTCTTGAATGAAATTTATGCTGTCTAAATACATGCACACACATTATATATAAATATATATATATATAATATCAAATCCATAAATGGTAAGGATAATCCAAATAGGTTTTTTTAATATAAAAATAGATAGATCCATGAAGAGAGCTCAATCAAAATACAGAGCAATATGATATACATCTGTTGTAACCTAGAAAAGGTTACTGAATGAAGAATAACCTAACACAGAGGTTGGAAATGAAATGGTAATCTTTATAACATCAACAAAATACAGTACTCGCCAGCAGCATGAAGTAGGTAAACCACTGCTAGTCGTGAACTACATAGACAGCATATTACCCCCACTTACACTAGTGTCCAATGTATTTATCAGGATTGGGACATACCCAGTAGTATTCATAGGTACGGTATATAACAACATCAAAGGAAAAGCTCAATACATCATTAAAGAGTTTGGTAATAATTTATTTCAGACAGACAACTGTCTCATCAGACCAGAGTTATAAAACTGGATTAACTTTGGTCCGATGAGGCAGTTGTCTGTCTGAAATAAATTATTACCAAAATCTTTAATGATGTATTGAGCTTTTCCTTTGGTTGATATATATATATATATATATATATATATATATATATATATACACACACACATAATAAACATAAGTTCAAAAGTTCGTTTTCTATTAAAGTTCTATCATTTAATATTGAGCACATTGCTTACAAAAACTGTTTGCTTTAAAAGCATTATGCTTCTGCAGTAAGCTGGTTGAACACAATCTTTATTTTATATGTATGTATATATATATATATATATTAAAGAGATAAATAAAGTACCAAAGAATTTGAGACTGTTACCACATAACATGTAACTCCTCCCTTCAACTGAATGACATCGGAAATGCAAATTGGTCGTAAGTTTACAAAATGCAGGTATCATTACTTGGATATATCTATCTAGGCATGTTCCAGAGTTTTCCATAAATGTTTGTTGGGTGTGGCTGCATGGAATTAAGTGACATACAGTCTTTAACATGTTCGATACAATTTTATGAGATTCAAATCTAGTGTGGGTGAAGGCAATTTTTGTATGTTTGACCTGGTTATTTAGAATGGTGATGTAGGTTACCACAGAAGCTTGCAGCAACAGCATTTACAGAAGTAGAGTTTTTCTTGCAAAACATTACTACCATTAGTATGGAGAGTTGTATAAAAGGGGTATAATTATGTGAAATATGTAATACATTATATAGATCTAAACATTATATTGGTATAAATATTATATAGACATAAAAATTTTATTGGTGTCCACATTGGTATAAACATTATATAAATAGCAACATTATATTGGTATAAGCATATATCAACATTATGTTGGTATAAACATTTTATAGATATAAACAGTTATGGCCATATTGTGTTGAAACACCAGTTCCCTCACGATCACCGAAGTTAAGCAACATTGAAACTGGTCAATCACTAGATGGGTGACCGAGAATACTAGGTGCTGTAAGCTTGGATGTGCAGGCTCTGTAATTGTTAATCAGAGTGCCAAGTTTGAATCCTAGTTGGGTTCATTATATTCTCTTATGTGCAAATACCCTTGGAAAAGGCATGAACCCATATCTTCTCCCACCCAGCTATTGGATAATTAATAAGACTTGGATCATTAATTCATTATTATCTCAAAAAATAAAATAAAATTGCATAAAAAATATTTAAATTTTGGCATTAAATAACCCATAGAGGTGTTGATATGTAACTAAAAAAAAAGCAACCATAAGCATATCACTATAAATATTATATAAATGTCAACATTGGTATAAATATTATATAGATATCAACATTATTTTGGTATAAACATTATGTAGATATCAACATTGTTTTGGTATAAACATTATATAGATAGTAACATTATTTTGGTATAAACTTTAGATAAATATAAACATTCATATTCTAATCATTTATTATCTCTATAACTGACTTCCTTTGACAAAAATGAAAACTTTTAACCTGATATGCAATTAAATACATACTAGTGTTATTCAGTTCTTAGATAAAATAGCTGAACAATAGTTCTAAATTATGATTAATCAAATTTTATTATCTAAAATATGATTCCTTTGACTTTAAACAAGAAGAATGCAATTTTAAGTTTAATTGCTGTAATATTACCCACTTTCCCACCTGCACTATTTTTAATTTAATTTTTGCTATCTGACATATTTCTTCTTTTTAGTATGTGAACCACTGGTGTGAGCAGGCTACAGTCATGAGTATGGAACGTCAATCACAAGCCAGTGCATTGACTGAAACACTTGAGGACTTAGAAGCTGAGTCAGGCCTTTTTTTAATCAAGCCAATTTACACAAACCGTATAAAGTACGTGCAGAGAAATATTTAGGCAAAAATTATTCTATATTTCTTTTTTATACACATTCATTTTTTTTAATGAACTAATATATATATATATATATATATATATATATATATATATATATATAATATTTGTCTACCTATAAGAATTTCTTAATATCCTAATATAATATAGAAATTTACTATGTCATATTCAGTGTATTATAGATAAGACATCAAGTATTAAAACTCAAGCAAATTGTTAAATATTTCATATTTTATTATATTTTAAATATTTCCATATTTCAAATTAACACCAAAGAAGTTTAGGGTTACACTGAGTCAAAAATGTACTTGTAAAATTTGTGTGTAAATAAATACTAATTTTTTTAAAAATTTATCCCTTAGAGACAACAGGGCTGATTTATCAACCAAAAATCAAATGGCAAAAAAGACAATTGGTTCAATCTGTCAGCATGATAATACAAATCTTGAGATTAGCTGGCTGGTCTTCATACCAGTCAATCAGATTGCTTTTCACATTTCTTGTACATCTGGGCCTTTCAATGGCGGTTTCTATTATAGTTTACTGTGCTCTGTGATTTTACATTGATTTTTTTGGTGTTCCAAATGAGGGCATGGGAAAAGAGCTCCGTCTTGGCACTGAAACTCCAAATGAGGCTCCATCGCCAAAGGGTTAAAATTCTTAAAAATCTGCAAGTTAGTGAATCCATTCATTCTAATGTCGAAATATATGATGGAATAAGTGCTTATATTTTTTTAATTTAATGTTTATATTATTATTGTACACTGAACTATTGGAACCAGTGTCTTTATTTTGATTGTCATAGTCACAATGTTTCAGCCACTTTACCATCTTGTCTTTGGGTGTCATTTGTATTCATTTGTCTGAAAATTTCAGACCATACCTTTATTTCAATCCATATGTGTAGGTTGCTCTCATTCTGCTGTCAATGTTAGAGATTATCCTTTTAAATCTTTTAAGTAAATTCATCCTTGTGATTTGGTTTTTATTTATTTTTACTGAACTAGAATATACAACTTTCATTGTCTACCCCAAAGATTGAACTCCAAATGTGCAACAAATGCTCTTTAATCACTAACATGAAACAATCAAGCAGTAGAAAGAACAGAAATTAGCTTTATGGCTTCAAAATAATTCCACCACATTAATGTGTATGTTTTTCAAAGGAACACAAACTACCAGCAATGGTCAAATGCATCTAGTTACCTGCTGGTCAAGAGTTCAATTCACTGGTTAGATGATGAAAATGATATACTCTGGTTCAGTGAGAGAAAAAAGCACAAATGCCATCAGCTGATGAAAACTGACTGATATGAGATATTCTCTAGAATGAAGGATGAAATAAGAACAATCTACCTCCCCCATCACCACACACACACCTCCTAGGTTCAGAATTGCGAAATATGACAGACATTTGATAAAAGCTAGACTGTACAATAGCTGAAACACTGTGGCAATAACAATCATAATGAGGACACCAGTTTAAATAAATCCATATATCATAATGATAATATTTCATTTCAAAAATCCAGACAAATTAGTTTACATTTTTTTTGTATTCTTGTTTTAAACAATTTTATGATTTTATTTTTTTAAAGACTTGTTAGCAGAGAGAAGAAAGTGCAGAAAAAAAGGAATACTTGTAATAAACTTCCAAGCAATCCTTCACATCTCAAGCAAACTTCAAGTGCTAATTCTGCAGATACTTTATTTGACCAAAATTCCAAAATTAATATTGCCTTGGTAAGTTGTTGACATTTTGGATAAATTTCTTTCATATACTTTTATCACATCAGGAATTTTTATATTTTACTTTTGTTAATCATTTCTAAAAGACTAAAAATGAGGCATCAGTTTAAATAATGAAATTGGAGCAGTCTCTAAGTAATGATATTTTATCACAGCTAAAAATAGAAATGACCCTTCCAAACAAAGACCAAGTACATAATTTTCCAAAAAACCTTTCTCTTATACCACCAAAAAAGACTAGGGCAGTTTTTTTTTTTTTTTTTTGACATCTTGCTATCCAAGCTCAAAATGCATTATCTGCTTATTTTTCTCCGAATGAAATTAAATAGTACATTCATTTAGTTTTGTATATTTTAGTATAGAGTAACTTTTTGTTATTTATTTCAGAACCAGATTTCTAACAATATTTTTTACCAAAAACAGTGATCAGTTGTTTTAATGTTACTATAAAATAAACTGAACCAGAAAATACTTTTTATAGATTAGCTCAATTCAAAAATAAATAACATCTTGTCATAAAAACCAAATTCGGGTTCTAAATAAAACATATACAACATTATGGAAAGACATAACAAGTGCTGTTGTGAACAATAAGAGTTTTGTTGCATAGAATTTTGAAATAGAGTTGAATAATGAACGACAGTGAGTTGGAGTGGTACTTACTGAAGCTTTATTGACCTACAATATGTCTGCCATGAAAATATTAGCATTATACACTGATTTAGTCGGCCTTTTATAGCCATAAGTGTAGAAGAGTTACAATAGAGAGGGGAGGTAATTCAAACAAATTTTATCACCCCAAGAATTAATAGTTACTGGAAATCTGTTATTAAAATTTTTAAATAGATTTCTTTAACTAAAACATTGAAGAAAAACTATAAATCTAGAGGTGAGAAGCAAAAGTGAAAATATACGAGATATATTCAAAGAACAAAATGCTTTGGATAGATAAAAAGAAAATAATATGACTGTTATTATATATTTTATTCAGACTAATATCCTCATCTTGATTGCTATTATTACAACGGTTTGGCCATTGTAATCTCTAGCCTTCTTCAGGTACCTGTTGTAGTTAGCAATCTTTTTAGAATTTTGAACTGAACTCATTATTCAATTTATGAGGGCAAATTGTTCTCATTTTGCTGTTTTTGCTAAAAGATTGTTTTTCACCAATTAATTATATGAGATATCAGCAGAGCAATCTGCTCCTAGTTTGAAATTCCAGAAAATTAACCTTCTGTAACAATACGTAAATGATTGCCTAATTAGCATAGCTAAAGCATAGACTATAATAAATGCCCAGCAGTAAGGGTATGCAAGATAACTGATACTGCTGGACTGATTACAAAGGAAATTTCACTTCATAACGCCATCTACAACAGACACCTAAAGAAAGTACAATGGCTCAAACATTGTGATCATAACAATCATGATGAGGTAATTAGTCCAAGTAAATCAGTGGATAATGCTAATATTTTCAACTTGAAAATACAGGCAAAAATGATTTTTTTGAAAGTGGAAAACTACTTCCTGGTTTTTCCTGTCTGTATACTAGTTTATGTATGTTGGCCTGAGTACAAATATTTGATAGGTAAAACACTAATTGAGAATTTACTTTATTCATTGATGCTCTATCATGTCAGAAGAGAAATATCTGGTCATTTTTCTAAAACATATACATTATGAATGGTATAGTTCAAATGCAATAATATTTCAGTTGATAATAACTTGGAGGCAAAGATAAAGTAGGTATTTACATGCAAACTATTGTCCTCATTTTTGTTGTTGTTATCATATTTCAGTCATTGTGCCTTCTGGTCTTCATCAGGGTAACCTACAGGGAATTTTGAACTGAACCCTAGATTTAAATTAAGGAGGTAGATTGTTCTCATTCCATTGTCTTTTTTTTTTTTAATTATTTCACCCAAGCTAGGCAATAAAGCCACTAAGATGAAAGGAATTACTGAGTGTTAGAGAATATGAGAAGAAAATCACTGTTAAGGAAACAGAGCAGTAAAAGAATGAGAATTAAGAAAACTGGATAATTATTGATATTGCATTTAAATTTTTGAAGATCAAAGTTGACTGGAAGCAAAAAGCCAGAATAGAAGAAACTGTTAGCATAGAACTTACAATTACATTGTCATTAAGGAAATAATCAGCATATATAATAGGCTATGAGGACCTTCTTAGTAGGCCTAGCATAAAAATAAATATGATATGGGAGCTGTATAAAAGACAAATGACAGCAAAGCTTAAACAGGAGCAGTTGTAGTAAAAAGTGAAGACTCAGTGAATGCAGTCAAGCATGATAAACAGCAGCAGGCAGGTTAGTTTTAAGACTCCAAGTTCTCCACTCATTATATTTGGTGACATAGTAATTGCAACTTCAATTCCTAGGCCAGGTACTATGCTTGAACTCAATGGAACAGGGTCAGAAATAACTGAACAGTACTAAATAAGGACTATATATGTCCTTAGACATAAGCAGTGGAATGAGAAAAATTTACCCTCATAGCTTAAATAAAGGGTTTAGTTTAAAATTCCCCGTAGCTTACTCTAATTGACAAATACCTGATGAAGGCTGGAGGGCATAATGTCTGAAACGTTGTGATGATAGCAACAAAGATGAGCACAATGGTCTGCATGTAATGGTAATACCTCATCCCAGAAATGTAGACAGAAATAAGGCAGGTAATTCCTTATGGAATAGAAGTATTGAACTTTTAATACTTGAGATTTTCAACTATTAAGGATTTCAGTTGTCTCTATTTTATATATTTTGTATACAACATAAGTAAAACGTACAAAAATAACCTTAATTTTATTCTTTATAGGTAATTTTATCGCATTAGATGAAATAAATTTTTGTTATTATTTTTTAATTTCTGTTTATCTTTGATAAATTCACTTAATCCTATCACAGACTTTGTTTTAGAATTTGTTCAATGCAAGTTGAGGTCTTAGACACAAGTCATTTTAAAAAACTGTTCTTTTTCCATTGTTCTTATGATATTGTTGGTCTTTATATTATTTTGAAAATTCTTTTAATTTCTTGCCAGAATTCATGCAACTTTCAGCCACAAAGACTCAAAGATGAAAGCAACAACTTTCTTTCTCCTACCTGCAACAAACAACGGCATACATCGACACCCATCTGGGCCGTATGTTGAATATTTTTGTTTCATTCTATCAATAAATTTGAATCAATCTTAAAGAGTGTTAACATTTTTATACAGATTCAGTGATTAATAGACATACCTGCAACTGAATGCATATTTATTGGGAACAAAATGTAGCACTGGAAGAGTTGACACAATTTTATTTAGAAAAAAACAAAAAAAAAACAGGTAAAATTTACAATTTTAAATGTATTTATATGACTATCATTAATGCTTTGCTAAAATATCATTATTTGATAGCATGTAAATGTATTCACTTCTTTTTTTTGTAGAGAAAAAAAAATTAGGTAGAAAGTATCAAAACAGTTTTAGTCTTATTAATACTGCTATTATTACTCCTTTGCCAATGTATCATATTTGATAGCATTTCAGCTTATTTCCTATTTTCCTCAAAAATGTCTAAAAACATATCTCTTGGGTTTTATATTATAAATTTGACTATTAGGCTATGCAGTTGCTATAGACCACCAGTACTTGAACCTAACCTAACTTCATAACTCCATGTAATATTAAATGTAAATGAAGTTGTGGGATGCTTATACACCTTCATATATTATAGCTTTTATTATAATAAATAATTGTAAGTATTATTTATAACATAGTAGCTTTTTAATCTTAAAAAAAATGTTTGTTAAGAAATAAATAAAACCCAAATGATTTTCTTGCTACTGTTTGATTCTTTCCAAATAATTAAGATTGTGGAAATTGTTTGTTTTCCTGAAAGAATAAGGTGATCAGATGTTTGTCAAATAATCATGAGATGCTGCATCATCATCAATTCCAATAGATTTCAGATAATATTGAAACAGATTCCTTGATTTTACACATGGTGATATATTGTTCTATAGCCTTGTTTTGTCACAGGCTTCCTAAGGATTGAATTTGCTATAAAATCTTTCTCATTTTATACATGGCAATCCACTTTTTGATAACACACTGATAGTCTTTTTTTCAATATCTTACTGTCCGATTTGTTTTTTGCTTCTTTAATGTCTTACTGGCCTGAGATACAAAGAATTACATAAAGATCATATCCTAAGAGAACTGAATATAAACCCCAGTTCATGGGATTTTTTTCTTTTAATGAATATTCAATTTACTGTGGTTATAAAGTGAGAAAGAGATTTATGCAGAGTTCAGTCCTTGGAAGAACACTGACTGAAGAAACCAAAGAATTAGGACAATATATAAATCAATAAGTCCCCAGCCTAATGACAAAAGAAAAAATTATAAATTTTGAATTGAGCAACTGAATGAAATAATGTTGATCATTAATAGCCATGTTAGATTTCCATATCACAGTCAAGCTTTCAAAGCAACCTGAAGAACACAGCAGAAGGTGAATACATTCATGACTCCATACCAAAAACAACAACAGAAGCAGCTTCTGTGATAGCCTATGGCAGCATGTTGACAGCACCCCGTATTCTTGAATTGGATATCAACAGAATGCTTATTGGACAAAATAACGTGAGGTAAGTCAAGTATTTACCTTCTTTCTTTTGAGGACTAAGAAAATATAAAAACTGAAGAAAAATTTTTTTTTTTGTCATTGTACAGTTTATTGTTTATTAACTGAAATTGTCAATAAACATCAGCATCTAGGTCCCAAGTCTACATCCTGTAAAAAAGTTGACTGATATTTACTACGTAGATGACCTATCACTGCGGACACTATTACCAATACCACATCTCTCATATGTCATCTACAAAATTCTGCAAATGATACTGAATTCTATGTCAATGCCTGTAAAACTGATTTCATAAACTTCAACTAGCAAGGCTCAATACACACTCAGGTGAATCAATAAAATCTGTCAAATTTTTTACATGCTTAGGAAGCAAGATGAATTCTAATGAAAAGGATATGAAAATTTTCATGGCTAAAGTCTAGGACACTTTGAATAAAATGGATGTAATCTGGAAATCTGATCTACCAGACAACCTCAAATGGAGATTCTTTCAAGGCATTGTACAGGTGGTGTTAATGTATGATGCCACTGCTTGGATATTAACTAAAGTGCTTGAGTCTAAGCTTGATGGAATCTACACTTGGATACTGAGAGCTTTACTTAACATCTCTTGGAGACAGCCTCCAACTAAATCACAGCTCTATGGACTCATCCCTGATATTTCTACAATCTTATGCAAATGCAGAATCTGCTTTGCAGGACACTGCTGGCAAGCAAAATAAAAATTAGCAAATGGTCTGCACTGTACACCTAGTGTGCAAGATGGGCTCAACAACCATCTATATTGACCAGCAATGTAATGATACAGAATGCCGCACTACTGCCCTGCCGACCTTGATGCAGGACTATGAGGGTTGGCGTGATTCATGAATGTCCAAGATAGCTTGACTGAATAAATTAAAAACAGTTTCTTGATAATTTAATCTCTTTTTTTTTTTAAATTTCTATTTCTGTTAGCTTCCAAATCTAAAAATACAATTCTTGTATTTATTCATTGATTTTACAGCATACAAATTAATCCACCAACAGCTGATGAGTCTCAACAATTAAATCTTCGATCTTACATAAGTGTGTGTCGACCAACTGCAACTCCAGGAAATATTTGTTCAGGTCAACCATTTTCAAATATTACAAGCAGTAAGTTTGCTTTTCATATCTTTGTAAACATTTACTTAAAAACATATTTTTAATTAAAAGTTTTAGGGACATAAAAAGGAAGTCACATACATACATTCACACACACAAACACACACACACACACACATATATATATAATAAAAATATAGTTTTAAGGTATGCTATATTTATGGGTTAAAGTACTCAATATCAGGGATAGAGCATATATAAATATAAAAGTTGACATTAAAGTCAACACCTAGAAGTAACAGTCTATTGTATGCTTAAATGCTTAAACACAATCTTATAGATGGCCTAAAGATTATGCTAAAGCATGAAACTGACTGTCACAGCTGGGTGTTGACCTTGATATCCACTTTTTTCATATATATATGTACACATATATGTGTGTTTTAGGAGAAAGAAGTATGACAAAATGTTTCCATTTTTGACATAAAAATATTTATATATCATTATTCCATATACATATATATATATATATATATATATATATATATATATATTTAATTATTTTAGGATATTAAAAGATTATTTATTAAAATATTATTTATTTTAGGATATTAAAACGTTAAACTGCTGGTGAGTGAAAGCTTTCACTCGCGAATAGTTTAACATTACCTGAGGAGACAGATTTATAGTGGGGAAACATAATTGCCATTATGTAATGGCTTTTAACATGTTTTATTATCCTAAAATAAATAATATTTAGCTCTACTCTGTATTTAGCCCTCTTTGAAATTAAATGCTATGTACAGTGGAATTATTGTTCTCATCTTACCTGGATCCTGAATATATATATATATATATATATATATATATATATATATATATTTGTGTGTGTGTGTGTGTGTATATATATATTTAAGTTTCATTAAAGATGGCTGACAAGGTCCTGCAATTAAGTTTTTTTATTTAATTTTTCTTGTGTTTATATGGTAGACTCTTATTGCAAAGAACACATGAGAGTTCTGTAAAATAAAAAGGTGCTCAACTTTTATAGACTGTGTGTCTCCTGAGATTTTTTAACAAAATTTTGAACATGCTAAAAAGGATTAAAAAATTTAATAAAATAATCAAAAAATACTTTGGTTTTCCTTTTAATAATAACATAAACATTTTGACGATAAAACTTTGTTCTTATCAATTTTGGAGCTTTTTTTTGTACCTAATATATATATATATATATATATATATATATATATATATATATATATATGTTTTTATTTATCAAGAAACAGTATTGAGGATTTTGTAAGACAAAATGAAAAAAAGTTTACCTGTGACACATTTCAGCTGTTAGAGCTTCATCGGACTGGGTTTGTATGAAGATGTAGTAAGCCGATGTAATTTGTATGTACATATCGTTGACTGATGTATAAATGCCAAGTACTTTCAACAATTTCAAATTGTCATCTTCAGACCACAATTTTTTTCCCATACATAGGAAAACACTAAGATAAAATATGTGTAAACTGAAAGATGTTTTTTTTAAATCATGCTATCGAATATAAGGATTTTATTATTCAAGGAATTGATAGTAAGTTAATGTCTCATTAAGTCTTGTTAACAAAGTGATTTCACCATTAAAGACATTAAAATTTCTATTTAATTCTTTGTATAAATTGTTTCTTTATTATATAAAATATAAGCTGCATACTATAATATATATATGCATGTATATATATATTTATATATAAAATATTGCCAATTGAGTGCTAGTCTTAATAAAACAGTGCTCAATCTATAATAAGAAGTCTAAAATTTATACTAATAATAAATATGCATTTTGTTCCACACCAGTAGCACAACTCTGAGTTTAATGCATGATGCAATCATCAGGTGCTGATTGGAAACTGACTATTGTAAAATTTAAATATTTATACCACACTTTTATGATAGTGCCAGAGTCCATTTATTTACAAGGAAAAAAACTATACATGCTTACATACATCCAAATACAAAGATATAAATATATTTACTATTAGTGTGTGTATATGAATGTATATATATATATATATATATATATATATATATATATATATATATATATATATAGCAAGAATTCATTTAAATTTTATTAAATTCATCAGACGAGGTGTATTTAAAGTTTTAATTCTATTTTTCCAGTTTTTGAATAAGTTGTTATCCAGCCACATCAAAATTGTGCATAAACTGTCCAAAGTTCATGTTTTTGTTCAGGTCTTTTTGTGTGTGTGTGTGTGTATGTGTATATGTGTGTGCTTTTACTTTTGACTCTCTTGGTCATTTTTGAGGTTTATGGGCAACAACTTATTCAAAAATTGGAGAAATACAATAAAAAATTAAACAGACCTTGTCAGCTGAATTTCATAAAACTTGCTGATCTGACCACCAAAATTTATGCATATGTAAATAAAATTTTCTGTTTGAATTTCTTGGATGATTAGTTATTATATACATTCAGACTATTGTCCTTATCCCTGTTGTTATCCCAACATTTTGGCCTGGAAACAACAGCAATATGATTCTACAGAAGGATGCTGAGGATACTGTGGACAGAAGATGTGAGTAACGACGAGGTTTTAGATAAAATGGAAAACAAAATGGAAACTAATATTAACAGTTGAGGTTTCTAGAGCATGTAATGAGGAAGGATGACTTGGAAAATCTGATACTCACAAGACAGATAGAGGGCAAGAGCAACAAAGAACGACAATGCATAACATACTTACTGGATGGCAGAACAGGGCTTAGAGGAAATAACAGAAAGATAAAGTTTATTAAGAACTACAAGAGACAGGAAGTTGTAGAGAGCCATGATCACCTATGTCCTGAGTGGACACAGCACATAAAGTACAGATTCATTGGAAACAGGGCATGCTAAAATTGAGCAGTACTAAATGATTATAAGATGAGAAATCCCTAGACATTGAAAATACAATGAATACACTCTCTGTCCAGAGATTAAATAAGGGGTTAATTTTGAAATTCTCTGAAGGTTGCCCTGATCAATAAGCCCCTGATGAAAATCAGAGAGTACAACATCCAAAATTTTGTGATAAAAACAACAAAGATGAGGACAATAGTCCAAATGTAAATAATAAATAAAATTTATATATAAATAATGTGTGTGTATATTCATGAGGTTTTGGTTCACTTATTTTTTGTTGTTGCTTGAGGTGACAGAAAATAAGGCATCTAATTTTGAAAAAATCTAAACTAGTTTAAATAGAATAAAATTCAATGTGTTTAGGTACTATTGAACAATATTTTGTGTGTCATAAAACATTATACAAGTTATTTTTATATTACTAGGTTGCTATGAGTTGAAGACTCCCCCAGTATCCAGATTATGTACCCCAAAGCCTAACAATGGAGAACAGTTTGTACAGACCGATCAGCTACCAAATAAATTACAACTAGAGAGAATATCTTTCCCTCCGATATCTTCACATGTAACAACACAAACATCAGTTGGCCATGACAATTATTTGACCAGCAAATAATCATTGCCCGATAGGTTTTATGTACATTTGTAAACATTTCTTTACTTAATAAGTAGGGGTATTAAACTAAGACTATCGCAAAAAGTGAAGATTTCTACTTAACAAGATTATGTTGACAAAATTATCTTTACATCTTATTGCATGCAAAGAATAATTAAGCATTTCGATTAAGCTGTTGTGATTGATATCAGCAGATTTAATTTCATTTACAGGAAAAGTTATATTTTTGTTAAAAAGTCATAAACTTAAGTTTTAAAACTATGGTGACTAATTGTAAATATGTTTGCTGTAAACAATGTTCAATTTGAGCCATTATTTCTTGGGGTAATAAGTAGAAGATAATGCATATGTTTCATATGTATGTGGTTCTGTTTCAGTAATATATTAGGTGTGTGCAAAAGTTACCAGCACCAACTTTGTTGGAAACTAAAGACTACACAAGGGAAAAGACAATTTGAGTTTTTAGTTTAGTCATTGTCCATTTATCTTGTGTTTGATGAAAGCAAAAATGGCAACAAACAAATGAAGTTGGATGTTACTACTTTTCAAGTTGGGCAAGACAATAGCGGAAGTGAAAAAAATGATTGATGAGGACAACAATGGAGATGGTTTGGTTCGAAGCAGTATGTGTCATGAATGGTTTGTGAAGTTCAGTAAAATGTATTTGGAGGATAAAGCACACAGCAGTAAACCATAAAGGTTTGGAAGCTATTTGGATGAAACCAGCATCAATCAAATTTGGAATTGACTGAAAACTTGGTGTCAAGCACGCTACTGTTGCAAGACATTTCTAAAGTATAAAGAAATCTAGGAAAATGTGTTCCACATTTTCTTATCATCATCATGACTTTCCCGATGTCATCAGTTCCCAACTAGGTATTTATGCTGTCTTAATGGTAAGTCTGATAATTTTAACAAAATAAAACTGGCAGCTACTTTCGAAAATTACCTCCAATCAGTTGTTAACTGGAGCAAGAAATGGTTTGAAAATTTTAATGACTCCAAAACAAAATTGTTATCCTTTAATCATAGAGACCCATTTTTGAACTTCATCAGTATGGCTGATGCTAACCTCCAGGAGAGTAACTTGTTGCATCTTCTTAGTTTCATGTTTTCTACTCACATGAAGTAAATCAATTATAGAATCAATTGCTAGGTCTGCTGCTAAGATGATTGGTTCACTGTGTTGTGCAAGACAATTTCTCTCATCAGAATCCATCTTGCACATTTATAAATCTAACATTCGTCTTCAATATTGAATATTGCTGCCATATTTAGTCTGCTGCTCCTGCTATATATCACAGGATTCCTGATAAAATCCAAAGAAGAATCTTAAATTCAGTCACTTTTCCACTTCCGAGACAAAGCTTCCCTCTCTCTTTTCTATGAATTTTTTCATGGCAATTGTCCTAATGGGCTCACCTATTTGGTACCTCAATCACATGAATTTAAGTGTACTGATTGGCTACTAGGTCTCATCATTTTACTGTTGAAATAGCAAGATGATAAGTTACATTCCAATAGTTTCTTTCCTCGCCTGTGGAACTCTCTTCCAGTTCTTGCTTCCCTGTCACCTATGATTTTCAAAAATTTAAATGCAATGCCTATCATCATCATCACTCCCAGTAACCACTTGTATCTCAGTGGTATTATCAACTTGCTTGGGGTGAAATTGATTAAAAAAAATTATCAATTTGAAGCATCAGATAGTATCTCACCACTGTATATTTCATTTCTTGAGACATTAAAAACAAAAAATCTTTGATCAGTTGAAGATTGTCACTGGAGAAGAAAATTGAAAGTAAATCTGATTTATATGAAGAAAAAAAAAACTGGGAAAATTCAGAACAGCCTACAGCATCAAAATCTAACCTTTTTGTGAAAAAGGTTATTTAAACATTTTCAGAGTCCACAATTGAAGTAATGCTAGAAAAACAGACATATTTATTTAAAAAAAGAGTGGAAAAATGGACAGGGAGAAAACAAAAATTACAGTCACCATAAATTGAAATTTGAAAAATAAAATATATATCAAAAATTGTGAGTGGGGGATGGTGATAAGAAAAGCTGACCAGTTTTCATTCCTTCTCTCATCAGAACTCGAACAAGAAAAAAAAATGACTAAAAGGGGGAAATTGAAGATATGAAATACACATATATTAATAATATACTATATGTATATTTATATTACAAGCAGATTGTGTTGAGACTCAACAAACATTCTTTTTGTTTACATAAGAATGCTCTCAAAAACTTTTCAGATAAAAATCTGAATGCAAATGGATCAACACAGAATGCATACCCTGAGTTATTGCTCTGTACTTGGTGGGATAGGTAAAGTATAATATTTTTTTAATGTCATGTCCTTGTGAATTGTCATGACTTCTTGGGAAAGATAGTGGAGTAGTTTCTCGTTCCCTTCTCCACAGATTCATTTACTTTATAATCTGTGAATTGCCATGACTTCTTGGAAAAGATAGTGGAGGGGTTTCCCATTGCCTTCTGCACAGCTTCTTTTTCATTATTATCTGTGAATTGCCATGACTTCTTGGGAATGATAATACAGTAGTTTCTAGTTAATTTCTCTACAGTTTGGAATTCAGAGTTTTTCTTCTCTTAGATGTGTTGCTATCTAATGCTTGACAGTTCAGTTCTACCCTGGTTTATTTAACTTATAGCCAGAGGGAGAAGAGACGGATTCAGGCTTTTCCAAAGTGTATTTGTGCAAAAGTAAATGCTAAACACTAGCCCAGAATTGGAACTCAGCTAACCAATATCCATTATACTATATACACATCCTCAGTGGTGAAACTGATGTTGCAGATTGTTACAGTTGTTACTGTCAGTTTGGAGGTTTCAAAAAAATAAATAAATAAAGGCAGCCATTTACAGGAGATGAAAACTGGAAATTTATACTGCCACATGACAATAGTTAACAACATGTTGCTTTGTTAACCTAAAAAATCATAATAATGATGGGATAGGAAATTCTTCCTCACTTGGCATATTCCCGAAACTTGGTGTTATTTGATTATCATTTGTTTCAATCACTGCAGCATTCCTTATTTGGTCAAAAATTAAAAGATGTTGTTTATGTTCAATATTCTATTGACAGCTTTATTGCATTGACGTCTGAGTTGTTTTATCAAGATTGAATTAAAAAATGAAGTCAAAGAGTGTCAAGGAAAATATTTCAAACAAATAAATGTACTTATTTTAATAACAAAATTGCTGGAAACTTATGTATACATCTAATATAAAAAGCATTCTTTGAGGATTTTGTCTACTTTAATCTAATGAATGTTAAGAAAAATACTTTCTTATAAAAAATACAACTAATAACCAAATTCTTATATATATATATATATATATATATATATATATATATATATATATATATATATTACAATGAGTCATTCATACAAAAAGTAGATTAGTATTAGTAAAGTTAATGATATAAAATGGCGAAATCCTTTCACAAACAAAACTTTAAAGGTACATTAACTTACGAATCACTCAATGAATGTTATGATCCTTGTTTTTAAAAATTATAAACTGTATAAAGACTTTCTTTAATATGCTAGTACTTTCAACTATACATTCAGCCATCCTCAGGCATGGAAATTATTTTGTTATTGGTAAAATTTGGTAGCATCCAAGACAAAAAATTAAATTTTTTTTTTAAATGTGTTATTGTTAACAGATACAAACTTTTGGAGCGTGCAGTTGCAACACTAAGGTTGAATTTTTTGAAAATTTAAGAGAGTGCGTTTCTTTACTAATATGGTAATTTGAGAATTTTTTTTGTTGTAGGAGTTTATCAGTTATTGTGGCATGAACTAAATTGTTCAATAAATAGAGTAATGTCTCAGTTGTTAGATTCAGTAGGAGTGGTTCGTAAGTGAATGCAACTTTAAAGTTTTGTTTGTGAAAGGATTTCGCCATTTTATATCATTAACTATACTAATCTACTTTTTTGTATGAATAATTCATTTGTAATATAAATTGAACTGGACCACATATTTGATATATATATATATATATATATCTATATATCTATGTATATATATATATATATATATATATATATATATATATATATATAAAGATTAAATTCGTAAATGGAAAGGATAATCCAAATAGGTCTTAATTTAGTTTAATTTAAACCATTTTGTTATTCCTGTCTGATAAAGCAGGTATTAAAAAACTTACTTGCCAAAATAAATTTATTATCGGATATTTTGAAATGTGTAAAGTTTTTTCCTTTGATATATATATATATATATATATATATATATATATATATATATATATATATATATATATATTAGAGTCTCTGTGTTCAAAAACATCAAATTCCGTGTTCTTCCGTGACTGTAAATTTCAATTTTTTGTTTTTGTTTCAAAATCATATAGACACATGAAAAACAGAGACTTGTGCGTAAATTTTTGATTTTTTCAGGATATGAGAAAAGAAAATATGTTGACAAAAATATAGAGAAAATATGTTTTCAGCATTAAAATATTTCTACTTCAGAATTATTTAAATAAATATTTGTTTTTGCCAAAACATGTGTTATTGTTTCTGTTTTATCAACTCTTTAGAAACATGCTTTTTCCAAAAGATAAAAATAAAAATAAAACTGTTCAGAAGGATTAGCACAGATGTTCAGGTACATGTTTATTGATTTTTATTTCTTTGACTGTTTTGCAAAATGTTTTGAATATTAAGAAAAATAATATCTTCCGTTTGAATTTCCAGGATGAGGAATCATCATTATTTATATTCAAACATATGTCCACATCTTTGTTGTTATCACAATGTTTTGGCCATTGTGATCTTTGGCCTGTTCATCCTTGTAACCTTAATGGAATATTGAACTAAGCCCTTTATTTAATCTGCAGGGTTAGATTGTTCTCATTCTGCAATTCATCTTGTGCTTATTGCTGAAGGTTATCCAAATTGACAGACACCTCAAGAAGGCAGGAGATCACAACAGCTAAAATTTTGTAATAACAACAACAAAGATGAGGACATTAGTCTAAATGTAAATAATATTTTATTTGAAGAAATAGTAGAATAATGTTTTTTAAGTTGTAGGAATGCAAGAATGAAATTTATTACTAAAATGTTTAAGTATAAAGTAAAAGTTTTACAGTTAACAAATCATTAAGAAATTTTTAACATCTATATAATGGTTCCAAGAATGCTTTTGTCTAGGATTTTTCATATATTTGATTGTAAAAACTGAATTCTGATTTTTACAATATGAGCTGAAAAGGGTCTTATAATTTAAAGTGAGGACAAACTGTGTTCTTCCACTTCCTTAAATGTTTCATTTCTTTTCTAAGTTCTTTCTCATTCTTAAATGTTTCACTTCTTTTCAAAGTTCTTTCTCATTCTTAAATGTTTCACTTCTTTCAGAAATGTGAAACACCAAAAATAGGACCAGCAGTAAATCACTCAAATATTTGTACACACATGCAGCACATGTGTATTTTCACTGACCTAGAATAAAGCAGTAACTACATATTTCAGCAGCACAAAATTTGCTTTCAGGGAATCTATATAAAAATAAAATTTTTACATATAATAATAAATATATGCTACTTGTAAAAAGAATTTTCCAAATTAAAAATTGTAACAAAATGCATTTATTACAGAAAACTTTTTTTTTCTAAGGTCAGTGCAGCTTTTAGGTGTTGAATGATCTCTCATACTAAAAATGTTTTCCTCTTAATTGAAAAATTTATTTTACATGATCTGGCCTAAAATTTAGAAATATTCTATCAATTTTATCAGTAGATAGAGTGCAGTATCGCAGTGTAAAAACTACAGTATGAAAAATTAGATTTATATGAATTATTAGAAATGAAAGCAAATTTTACAATTAAATATTTATTTACAAAGTATCTAAGGAAAATGAAGCCTTCTTTTATTAGTGCTTTATATAATATTCTAAATTTGATGAATAATATGGCAATTTTCTTTTGACTTTCTTAAATCACTGATGGGAAATTTATATTTAAATACTAGACAATAACTGACTTTATGTAATGATTAGATAAAAAAAAATATTTCTTTCATTATGAATGTAATTGAAAAACATAAAATTTCAGTCCCTGCAGATATTGCTTGTTTCTGAATATTAAAAATGTTTTTTTTTTTTATGGTCTGGCTACTACAGTTTAATTTGATGTGAAAATGACTTTATTAAACCAGGAAAATATTTCTAAATTGTAAGAATTTGGAGGGGGGAAATGATAATGATTTACTGATACCAATCCTACTAATTAACCCATAGCTAGAGAGAGAAGAGGTGGATTCATAACTTTCCCAAGTTAAGTAAATAGAACAAACCCAACTGGAATTGGAAGTCTGCAAGCCAAGTTTCAATTCCAATCTGTTATCTATTGCACCAACCACACACCCAAGCTTACATCACCTGATATTCCCAAGTGGTCACCCATCTATGTACTGACCAGGCTTTATGTTGCTTAACTTTAGTGATTTTATGAGAATTGGTGTTCCAACATGATATGGCCATAATCCTCTATTTGCTATAAATGCAGTGAATAAAGAAGAAACATGTAAACAATGATATTTGTATATTATCTATCAGGCAAATTAAATATATTTACAATGAGTGATGGATAAATTGTGTCTAAATTACATGAAAATGAAAATAATATTGACATCTCATTTAACAGATATATTTACTAAAATTACACAAAAATATCTTGATATACCAAAGAGTAAATTTATTCAATAAACTCGCCATTGGCTTCAACCATGGCCCCCAGATGACTTCGGGATCTCCAGCATCTTTTCTGGAGAATCTCCTTGTTTAAGATGGTGAATGCTATCATAATTCTTTCCTTAAGTTCATCTTTGGTATTACAAGCAGTTTTGCTGGTCTCTTGCTCAACTGCTACCCACGCATAATAATCAAGAGGGTTGAGGTCTGGAGAGTTAGGTGACCAGATGTAAGGGGTGATGTGGTTGCAGAAATTGTCTGACAGCCATGACTGGGTTCTCCTGCTTGTGTGACATGGTGCAAAGTCCTTTTGCCAGACAGGTTCTTCCAGCAACCACCGTCTTGACCCAAAGCAGCACTACTACTTTTCTTATCAGAACTATCAGAGTGAGTTTTCCAGGCTAGCGTAACTTCATAATCACCATTAGATTCATCCAACTCCTTCTGCATCCTTTGCACTGTTCTCAGATTGACACCCAAACACTTTGAAATGTTTGTGTTGGAGCTTCTGGCAAGAATGCCAAGCAGTACAGCATGCTATTTCCAAATTTCTGGCAAAGTGAATTGTGTCATGGGGCTCTTTTTCTCACAGACAGTGCCTAACTGACCCTACTATTCTGTTCAGTTGACAAAATCTAAAACAAACAACATGTATGCGTGAAATTAAAAATATAAAATAGCGACAATTTACCCATCGCACCCTGTATTTAAAAAATAAAGAAATTAGAAAAGTTCAACAATATTTTTCATAAATTTCATTTGAGTATCATTTAAGAAGGAAACAAAATTGATGAATTGGTTACCGCTTGTCATTTGTGACGATAGTTATCACCATCACTATCATCAGATCTTCAGTTCCTGCTTTCATCCAAGATTTGATCCAAATTTCCCTTCTTGTAAATGGCTGCAGTGCTTGTTTTAAGAAGATTGTGTAGCACCAATCTCTGAAAATTAGTAGTATGTCTGTAATTTGAAATGTGTACCTTATCTGAATTTGAATATCAACTGCTGGTAACAAAGGAAAGGTTTTTACACCTGTGAGTATGTAAAAGTCTGCTGAGAAATTCTTACAACCAGAAATGATTAGAAACAGGTTTGATGAATTAATAAGGATTTTGCAATTCTGATTAAGAAAAAGAATTGTGTCTGAAAATACTAAAAAGTTAACTTAATATATGAGTTGTTTTTTCTTTTAAACTACTCCCAATTAATCATCTGAGAGATACATCTTTGCCATCCATCAGCATGGCTGATGCTAACCTCCAGGAAAGTGACATATGGCACCTTCCCGGGCTAATGTTCTTGGCTGACATGAAGTGAAAAGAGTATATTGAATCCATTGCAAGATCAGTTGCTAAGAAAGTTGATTCTCTGTCATGTGAGACAATTTATCTCTCCAGAATCTATCCTACACATCTATAAGTCTATCATCCATCCATGTTTAGAATATTGCTGCCCATATGGTCCATTGTTTCTGCTATTTATCTAGAGCTTCTTTGTAAAATCCAAAGAAGAATCAGCAATATTATTTATCCTTATTTGGCATCTTGGCTTCATACACTTTCCCACCGCTATAAGGTTGCCTCCTTGTCTACATCTCTGAGATGAGGTATTGTGATTACTTACATTATTCAGACCATTATCCTCATTTTACTGCTATATTCACAATGTTTCAGCTTTATCCACTGGGCCATGTATCCTTGAGGACACAGTGGATAAAGGTGTTGGTTAGACTAGACAGTGATTAGACCCAAAGAGTTGTGAGTTCAATACCAGGCTACAGCAGTGGGGAACCAAAACTTGGAGAGATGAGTTATAGTGAAATAACCGAGACATCCGGAAGAGGTATGGCACGTGGAACAATCTACCCCAGGGGATGAAATAAAGAGTTTGTTTCAAATTTCCAATCACCTGAAGAAGGTCGGAGTGTACAACGTCTAAAACGTGAATATGGCAATGAAGATAAGGATAACAGTCCAATTAATAATGTAAGTTTCTGTCTAATTCTTCCACACCCAGTAAACCCTTGTATCTTAATGGCTTTACTGCTTTGAATAGAGTGAACTTAATTAAGAAAAAGTTTAAATTGTGTCAATTAAAACAAAGACATGAATAAAAGCTCACAAAAAAATTTCAATTTTAAATGAAAAGAAAAATAGAGAAAATTAGATCACATTCAAAATAGGTTTTCTTTCTTTTTTTAAGAACTCAAATCATTTGAGGATTTGATTTCTTTAAATAAAAGATAATATCTTCCAGATAGTTCCAGGAACTACTTTAATTGAAAAGTATATTTTTTAATAGGCTTACCATATATCCCAGTTTGGCAAGGGGGACTCTCTTCGTCTCTTTGATGTAAGCTGTCAGACAGGGCTGGTGTATACTACCTGGATGGGGATTTGAAGCCTGATTGGGGGGCCCAGAAAATGCTTTGTGACCCTCACTATCTTATCAACACTAGCTTTTTTTCTACCTACATTTATATATATTACATATTAAACTAAGCACAACTGATGATTAAAGAATGAAAATTTTTGTGGATCTTGATGTCAATCTGGGGTCTTCTATTTTTTTTTAAATCCATGAATTTATTTTGCTCATGCTGAGTCTCAAAAATCACTATAAAATTCAGTTTTTTATCCATAATGTTGAATGTGTTAAAAACTAAAATTATTCAATTCTTTAACAAGAAAAATTTCAAGTTGATGTTAAAAATTGCCACAAAACATTGTTGATTTATTAGGTTGTCCCAAAAGTTCATAAACACTTGCGAAAAATTGAATTTTTATGCAACACAATCCATCACAATCGAGACAAGCGATGGATTCAAAAAGGGCAAGAGACACTGTCGGTTCCAAAACAAGATCGATTCGGCAAGAAAGTCATGTTGTGCGTTTGGTGGAACTTTGAAGGAATCGTGCATTTTGAGTTGGTTCGAATGGTCGTGTCATCAGTGCGAACTTTACTGTCAGCAACTGGAGCGGGTCTCCGAAAAGTTGAAGCAAAAGTACCCGCTCTGATCAACTGAAAGCTCTTTGATGCAGCAGGACAATGCCAAGCCACACACCACCAGGAAGACCAAAGACAAGTTTGAAGAGCTGGATGGCGTTGAGGTTCTGCCATCCAGCCTACAGTCCTGACTGTGCTCCATTAGATTACGGCCTTTTCCACTCAATGCAACACTTTCTGAAGGGCCGCCGATTCAACCGTTTGATAAAGTCGAGGAAGCATGTCAAGAATTCTTTGATTCAAGTCGGCTGAATGGTACTTTCACCAGATCCAAAGCTTGCAGATCAATGGCAGAAAGTCTTGGAAAATGATGGTCTTTATTTTGAGGAATAATTTTTGTTGTTTTTGTTATTACTTGGCGAGTAAAATTTCAATTTTTTGCAAGTGTTTACGAACTTTTGGGACAATCTAATATTTAAGATGGAATGATCTATTATGGCATGTCTCTAATTTGTCTTTAGATAAATTGTATTTATTTTAAATTTTTCTAGTTGAATTGTTCACCTATATTGCATATGATCCATTATTGTACATAATTAGGTTACAATAAAATTTGTATTTTATATGAATATTACCTTATGAAAATTGGGAGGAGTGCCATCACCGCTATCATAGATAAGAAGAGGCACAAGACTCTTGCACCAACCCTGCTGTCAGTATTTTGTTTCTGTCAATCCAAAAGCCAAAGAACCATTGGGTCATGAAAACACTTTATTATACAAGAAATGTAAAAAATAAAAATTGTCCTACTTGGAAATTAAGGTAAGCCAAACTTTTGGATAATTGTCTTTTTTAAATTTGTTAACAGTTTCTTTCTTTGCTTTTAACCTGTCTTCATCTCATTAATATGTATATAGAATGTAGAGGATGGATAAATCCCAGACTCTCAAAAGGCAGTTATATGAATTTTAATATTTCCACTGTTTGCATCATTCAAACTGTTGTCCTCATCTTTACTGCCATATTCTCAATGCTTCGGCCATTGTACGCTCTATCTAACCTTCTTCAGGTGATATATGTCAGAATTTGCAACTCATTGCATCAAGTTACTTTTTGGATTACTCAACTAACAATTTTATCCACTGGCCATATGTCCAGAAGAGGGTCGGAGCGTACAATGGACAAAACATTGTGAATATGACAATAAAGATGATCACAACAGTTTAAATGATGTTACTACTGAATATAGTTACATTACCTCACCTAAAATATATAGACAGATCTTGAAGAATGCCAGAATTGTGAATATGACAATAAAGATGAGGACAACTGCCTAAACAATGTAAATATTTACAATACCTCATCCTCATCTCAGAAGTATAGACAGATCCTTCAGAAGGCCATAGCGTACAGTGGTCGAAACATCCTGAATATGGCAATAAAGATGAGGACAACAGTCCAAACAATGTAAATAGTTACAATACCTCATCTCGGGAATATAGACAGAATGAATTCTAATAATACAGGGTTATTAAAAAAGAATGAGCCAATTTCATAACACATTGCTTCAGTTCTCAAGCATCGTCATGGAATGAGTCAGTGACCACTTGAAAGAGGAGTTTTTTGAATGGCTGTTACAGGGGTGCTGTATTTGCAGCGTATTTCCAGCAATACTTAGCTGTTTGTTTCCCCCCCCCCCCCAAATGGCAAGTCCTCAGCAAAAACGTTTGTGAAAACAAATACAGTTGTTATAGTGCAGTGTGCTTTTTAAAGGCAATTCGATATTAATCCACACCCTCTCCTAAGAACATTGACAGTGGTTTAAACAGTTTCAAGAGTGGG